TCCATCTATTCTTGCCCTGCAGCACGAGGCATAATTATCTTTTAAGAAATTATTTAAAAACATGGAAAGCCAAGACACTGTGGCAAAAAATGATCTACGTGAAGGATCCCTGTGAGTGAAATTTCAGTGGAAGAAGGGGCTGTCAAAGAAGGAGGTACCTTTCTCTGAAGGGAGGACAGAACTTCCACTTTGCTTATGGCCCTGTCTAAATACTGATGGAGTTTGTGGACTCGAAGGGCTTCCATAGTCTTAGCAGCTTATGTCAAGAGCCTCAGATGATCACTGACATCATAATAAAAGTGTCAGTTGTTAAATCAACAACAGAAGTCACTGTGTACTTGCTCCCCATGTAGGACCTCTGTCCTAAATGTGTTGTACTATGAGAATTAACTGTAAAACTTTTCAAACAGTAATTTATACTTTTTTTTTTTTTTGACAGGCAGAGTGGATAGCGAGAGAGAGAGACAGAGAGAAAGGTCTTCCTTTGCCGTTGGTTCACCTTCCAATGACCGCCGTGGCTGGCGCGCTGCGGCCAGCGCACCACGCTGATCCGATGGCAGGAGCCAGGTGTTTCTCCTGGTCTCCCATGGGGTGCAGGGCCCAAGGACTTGGGCCATCCTCCACTGCACTCCCTAGCCACAGCAGAGAGCTGGCCTGGAAGAGAGGCAACCAGGACAGAATCTGGCTCCCCGACCGGGACTAGAACCCCGTGTGCCGACGCCGCTAGGTGGAGGATTAGCCTATTGAGCCGCGGTGCCGGCCAGTAATTTATACTTTGTGTTTCTGTGTGGGTGCAAATTGTGGAAATTTTTACTTATTATAGAGTTGATCTTCTGTATATAAAATTAATTAAGGGGCCAGCACTGTGGCGCAGTAGGTTAATCCTCCACTTGTAGTGCCGGCATCCCATATGGGCGCCGATTCTAGTCCCGGCTGCTCCTCTTCTGATCCAACTCTCTGCTGTGGCCTGGGAAAGCAATAGAAGATGGCCCAAGTGCTTGGGTCCCTGCAGGCACGTGGGAGACCCAGAAGAAGCTCTTGGCTTCTGGCTTCAGATCGGCTCAGCTGCAGCCGTTGTGGCCATTTGGGGAGTGAACCAGTGCATGGAAGACCTCTCTCTCTCTCTCTGGCTCTCTCTCATTGTTTGTAACTCTAACTCTCAAATAAGTAAGTAAATACAATCTTAAAAGATTTATTTGTTAAAAATTAATTGAAAACAAATCATAATGAAGATGGAATGGGAGAGGGAGCAGGAGTTGAGATGGGAGTGGAGGTGGGAGGGGGAAGGCGGAGGCTGAGTATGGGGAGAAGAACGACTATATTCCTAAAGATGTACATATGAAATTTGTATTCATTAAATAAAAGCTTTCTTTAAAAATGTATAATAAAATTTATAATAATAAAATAAAAAATTAAAAACAAATTATTAAAAATTCCTAGAATAGCATACGTTATTTTCTTTGTACTTCACTAAGTTCATGAAAAATGAAATTTAAGGATAAGTTTTAGTTCATAAAATTTTGAAGTTTATGCAGTTTTATCATAATACTTATTTCTATGAAATTTTAGACCACCCCTTGTTTGCATAGATTTTAAAATATTTTTGTACCACATTTATCTTTTAAAATTCCATATTCCATAAATTCTTTGAAATATACATATTGAAATTCCACCGCATAATGTTTTGGAATACATAGGGCAATGGTTGGTAGTGTCAAGCAAATTAACTATCTATCATCTCACAGTTACCCTCCCTGCTGTTTTTGTGGTAGACAGAACATCCAATATTTACTTCCTAGTAATTGCCCTGAATATGATATGATAGTGTTAAATATACGAGTACATTAGACTTGTTCCTCCTACATCTCTGCACCTGATACCCCTTGACTGATATCTTCCTATTCCCTCCCTTACCTTCTCCCCAATAAAGATATTTTTTAAAAATTTTATTTATTTGAAAATCAGAGTTCAGAGAGAGAGAGAGAGAGAGAGAAAGAGAGAGAGAAGGGTCTCCTATCCACTGGTTCACTCCCCAAATGGCTGCAATGGCTGGGTCAGGAACTTCTTCTGGATCTCCCGTGAGGGTGCAGGGGCCCAAATTCTTAGGCCATCTTCTGCTGCTTTTCCAGGCACATTAGCAGGGAGCTGGATTGGAAGCATAGCAGCCGGAACTCTATCCGGTGCCCATATGGGATGTTAGTGCTGCAGGCAATGGCTTAACCTGATACACCATAATGCTGACCCAGATTTATTTTATTATTATTATCTTTAAATGAAGCTTGACCACATCATTCTTTTGCCTAACTTTTGGCTTCTCATCTCCTATAGAATGCAGTACACAGTTTGTAAAGGACTACACAGCCTCTCTACACCTGCGGCCTCATCACCCATTCCTTTCTGTGGGTCACTATACTCAAGCACACTGTCTCCTTCCCTCTCCTGATTATTCTTTTTTTAAAAAAACAGATTTATTTATTTATTTGAAAAAGTTACACAGAGAAGGAGAGGCAGAGAGAGAGGTCTTCCATCTGCTGGTTCACTCCCCAAATGGCTACAATGCCCGGAGCTGCTCCAATCCGAAGCCAGGAGCTTCTTCTGAGAATCCCATGTGGGTGCAGGGGCCCAAGGACTTGGGCTTGCTTTCCCAGGCCATGGCAGAGAGCTGGATTGGAAGTGGAGCAGCTGGGTTGAACCGGTGCGCATATGGGATCCCGGCACTGCAGGCTGCAGTTTTACCCGCTACGCCATAGCACTGCCCCTTGCTCATGACTTCGGGAACCAAGTTCAACACCATTTCTCTGTTTCAGTTGCATCAGTTGTTATATATAATCCTGCACTCCTCTGTGATTATACTTTGAAACTGAAACTCAAATGTATTAAAACTTGTTTCCTTGGAGCCATATCCTGAGTGCAGGTGAGGCACTGAGTATTTTCACGGCAAGAGTAACAACCCTGGTAGGTTTCATTTCCTTGAATGTGTGCATGGTGCCCTCTGTTAGCAAAGCATTGTTGAACACCCTGCAGCGGGTGTTCAGTGAACAAGACAGCACCCATTTCTTCTAGAAGCCCACAATATTGTAGTGGACACAAGCATACGCACCTTGTAGTCACAGGCTAATCACAAGGTAACATCTACTTTGATTAAAGTTACACATATGTTATGTGGGTGAAGAGGGGGCCCTTTACTTAAAATGTGTAATTCTTCACAAACCTGATCATGACATAGTCTACAGATTACAATTAGTCTAAAGTGCTTTTGGAAACAGAATTATTTGTAAGCCTTTGAACACCCCGTAGCCATGGTGCTTCTACTACACTCTCCTGGATCATTTCAGGAAGTGCTGATGCCACAGGGGCTTCCTTGCTGTGTTTGGCATCAGACAGGAATGGGGCTGGAATATTACTGAAAACACCCAAAGATTCACATGAAACAAGACTCATCCTCACTACTGCTGCTTTTCTTTCTGGGTCAGTTTGAGTTGTTCGGGAAATGCAGGTGTTTGTTTTCCAGGGTGGGGGGAGCTCGGTTCTCCGTGTTCCTGCTGCCTGCTCCCCATCTTGCTCTGAGCTCCTGCAGGGCTGTCAGGAGCTGGGGAACTGCCTGTGCAGGGAAGGGCTCTCACAGTCCTTATTAGGTTCCAGGATGTCGAGAGCTGTTAGGATTCCTGTGTCTGCATTTTCCAAGGCTCAGTCACTGCTGCTTTGTCTCAATGAAGTCTCCCCTGCCAATGCACTGGGGAGGTGAAAAACTTTCACTTCCTCATATTGGTGTTGTGTTTGACACAGACAGAAGTCAGTCCGAGAAGGGATTTTCAAAATGTTCATAGAAAATGCATGTTATAAGAAAACTGCTTTGCTTTTCATTTTTTTGCACCCAAATTAACTTATTTTTTAATTCTAGTTTTCCACAAACTTTTGGAAGCATCCTTGCATATAAAAATATGAGAAGTTTAAATGTGTAGTGAGGCTCAAGTGTTTTGTTAAAGTGTAAGTTTTCCTTTCCCTTAAAAAAGTTGCACATACTCTTGGTTGTTTTTAAGAATTGTGTTTTCCAGGTGACATATTTTTGAATGAGCACAGGATGAAGTCTGAGATGTAGTTTGATTTTGAAAGTTTGTTTTATTTTAAGGGAAAAACCAGAGTCTCATGACCTGAAGTGCAATTCAATTCATTTGCTCTGGCGGCATCAGGGGAGAAGGATCACAGGGAGGAGGAGACTAGTCCAGAGGCTGCTGCCAAAGTACAGTCACAGAAATATGATGGCTTGGACTGGCCTCGTGTTAATGGAAGGAGTCAGGAGAACACAGGCCTGGAATAAGGTGTTGGAGGTGGAAAATACAAAAGTGAACTCGTGGCCAGGTTGTCATGGTTAGGGAATGAGGAAGTCAGGGTAGCTTCTTTATTTTGGGCTCAAGCAAGAAGCAAAGAGTGATGTCATTTACTGAAGCTGGGGAACACGGGAGGGCCCGGAGGGAGGAATAAATCTGAGGCAGAGGGAAAATCAAACATTCAGTCCCAGCTGTGCCCTTATGAGAAGTCTGTTGAGGAGCCCTGATGTAGAGCAGAGAGCACTACTGGAGTGTGCAGTCCCAGGGAATGGTCAGAGGTGGGACTGCACAAGTGAGAGCAATGACATAAACCACCATGAGTTTGTGAGTTTAGTGCTTGAAATTGTAGCACATTATTTATTTTTTATTTTATTTGAAAGGTAGAGATGGAGATTCCTCCATCTATTGGTTCACTCTCCACAAGCCCCAATAGCGGGGCTGGGCAAGGCCATAGCCAAGAACCATGGGTGGCAGGAAACCAAACTCTCGAGCCATAACCTGCTGCCTCCCTGGGTGTGCATTAGCAGGGAGCTGGGATTCAAACCCAGGATGGACTACAATATACAGTGTGAGCATTCCATGTGGTGGTTAACCATTGTCAAATGCCTGTCCCAAGCATGTTTTTTTTAATGGTAGCAATGCAGTCAGACATTCTAATTTTTTTCTTTGCAGAAATATTTCCAAGAGATTTGAACTTAAAAGACAAATTCATCAAGCATTTCACAGGTAAACATATAATTTATTAATGATTTCATTAAATAAAAGGATTGTACTTAGAGACATAGAGGACTATGTTAGGCATGAGGATATGAAGATAAGTAAAATAAGTAAGAGTCCAGCTGGAGATGTGGACCAGTGCTATAAACTGTCATGTGAACCAGATCTTGACAAGTAGTAGAATTACCCAAAGTTTTAGAGATGTGTAGGAGGTGAATAATTTAGCCAAGAACTACCAGGAGAGGCTTGCAGTGAACATAAATACTTCAGTTGGGCTGTAGGAGGAGACTAAGTTTGCTAAGGATGAGAAGGGCATTCGGTCAAGAGGAGGCCATTGAGCCAAGCTTGAAAGCTTGTGGTGTGATTTGGGGAGCACAGATGTGGAATGATGTAAGTGAGGCAAAGCAGAGCTCTGTTTGGCCACTGGGTAAACATACAACTGGAGGTGTAGGCTGTATTTTCATTCTGAGAGCCTTAAATGGCATGCTGAGAAATCTAGACAGCATTCCCCAGCCAATGGAGACAATAGAAGTGTTTTTCAGCAGAGGGCGGGGAGGGGGGGAAGAGCGAGAGAGCGAGAGAGCGAGAGAGAGAGAGAGAGAGAGAGAGAGAGAGAGAGAAAGAAAGAAAGAAAGAAAGAGATAGATAAATAGATATTGAGATTCTTAGGCCATATCTCCTGCAGGGATGAAATACTCTCTCATGACACTGTTCTGTTCTTCCTATCAACCCTGTGAGTCATTTACTAGCCCGTGTCACACACGATGTTGAATGTTTTTAGGCATGCCATTAGGGGCCTGCCTGTGCATCCTCCTGCTTCTCCCACTTTCAGAGGGTGGGGAGAAAGACCCAGCTGGGTCCTCCTTCATTTTATGGGTAGAGATAAGGGCATCTTAAGGCCTCTCACCCTTTACAATAGTCCTTGATGCAAAGAAGACACAAATAACTTGAGTGAGAAAACAGGACAAATGTTTTTGCACATAAACATTCATTCCTATTTTAAAAAAACTTGGGGAACAGAAAGTGGAAATCAAAGGTGTTTATTTTTTATTCTTCATATCCACTTGATTTTATTTTTCTCTCTAGAGTGTTTCCCTCCTAACCATTCTAAAGAGCTCTATTGGAAGCTAAGGTTCCATTATGTGAGATGTTGAGAATGTGGAATGAATTTAGATTATTTTTCACAGATCACAGTACCTCCCACAGAGTCTGGGTGAGGGGAAGAGCTCTCCAGCAAGTTCTTTTAAGGGCATGGTAGGATGTAAACCACAGTTATATTATATCTCCACCCATAAAGTGCTAGCAAATTTGTTTGGGAAACACGCCTATGTTTATCATAAGAATTCTTTTCCTGTCCTCCAGGGCCAGTCACATTTTCAGCAGAATGTAGCAAACATTTCCATCGACTGTATCACAATACCAGGGATTGTTCAACGCCAGCTTGTGAGTAGCTTGGCATTATTGCTTTTAAAATTTTTTATCTAGAAATAAATGTATGTGATTTTAAACTTGAACTGTCTGTGGGTGGGAAGTGATAGACTAAACATTGTATGAGATGCTATTTATAACACTGACAGTGCTTAAGGTTTGTGTGTGCTTTTGAAGAGATAAGGGGTGAAATTGCATTCTTGTTGGGACTATGTCCAGATCTGAAAATAGCCAGATTTCCTGAAAGAACAAAGTGTTGTCAAGATGGAAGCCTTTTGTCATTATTCAAATTCCTTGGCACAAATAAGATGTTCTCTCATAAAGTGAGAAGCATAAGATGACCATGAAGCATAAGTCAAAATTTCCTCCTAAGTTATTTTAAAGTAAATATATTTTATGTCACATCATTTATACAATGGGTGCTAGATTTTTCTGAGTAATGATAGAATGAGTTTGAAAAGTTGCTCGCTCTAATGAATTCTTTTGCATACTTAAGTTGTTGAAGTTACTAATAATTCTAAACATAATATTTAAGGGCTATCATTTAAAGTGACCAAATTATGATTATGTGTAGTAAGTCAATTTGCTGTTTTTAAATTCCTTTCTAAGGCTAAACTTTCCTTTTGAAGAAAAGGAATTTGAAGCATTTTGTTTCTTTTAAATTATGCTGCTCATTTTGAGTTATATTTAATTTTATTCAGGATGTTGAGTCAGATTTGTTACAGCTTTTTTGGTTCAAAAACAACTTGTATTTAATGATAAGGGAAACTTAATCACATTGGATTTAGGGCAAATGACTAAACATTAACACATATGGTGGATTGAGTGTAGGCTTTGGGATCAAACTGCTTATTCACTCTGAGATAATTAACATCCTGAGGCTCTTTTGTCATTTCTAAAGTGAAGATAATAGCAATAATATCTTCTTGATAGTGTTCTTAGGAGAACTAATGAGAAAATCTATGTTAAGCTCTTGATATATTAGGTGTTTATTAAATTATGTGTATTATTTTATGAATTAGTGACCGTGGTTAACATGATTGCTCCCATATTTGTATTACCTACATGCATGACTTACCTTTAAATATTTTTTCCTAGATTATAAACGATGTGCTCGGTTATTAACAAGGTTGGCAGTGAGTCCACTGTGCTCACAGACCTAGAAAACCCTTCTGTGAGTATGCAATTGTTTATGTTTCTTACCATGTTCAATAGTTTAATTTTCTTAAGAAAATTTTGAGCTATACAAAAATCCAAGAAGCTGATCTTACCAGGACCAACTGAACTTAATCTGTGGATGTTGCTGTTAGTGTTAAAACTTGCTCTAAATACACTAAGCCCTTTATTGTGTTAATTTAAAATATCCTTATAGATATTGAATATAGATAAATAACTTTTTGACAATCTTACCATTCCTGAGTAATTTTTTAAAAAATTATTGAATGTTTTCTGTTATTTTATTATTATATAGAAACATTATTTAGATAAACATTAGTTGAATAACCTATTTACAGGTCTATCTTTCCTTAATTGTACAAAAGCTATAATAGAAAATGAAACCAGGTCTTAAAATTTTGATTTACATAGAGTAAGTAAGGAACAGCTGAAAGATATTAGCAGTGTGTATTTGATTCTTTTAAAGAATCATATGTAATGAACATGTAATCCTCTGCTCTAACCTCTTTACAAGAGTGAAATAGTAGGTCAGAATTGTCTTTCTGACTGGATTATCCCAGGAGTCCTAAGTACAGAAATAGGTATTTGTAAAATCTTAAATAAACTTAATATAAATTATAACATTTACATATAAAAGTAGAATCTATTAAAATATTTTAAGATATTAATTTCTTTGCACATATTTTTCTAAAGAGTAGTTCTTTCCTGGCATAATACAAAGTCAACGTGTTTTGGTCAGCATTTCAGTACCACGGACAAGTCCCTTTAAGGACACTGGTTCCCCAGGTTGTGAAGGTGGGAGTGAAAGTCTTGGGTGGAGTACCTGTAGTCTAGAAATATCTGTGACTATCTTGAACCCACAAGTATAACTCAATCTATATCAAATAACTTCATGGGGGACTTAGTCCATATCATAGATTTCTTGTGACAATTACTGAGACTATCTTGATCTGCTGTTTTTGTGGCCATTCTTATTTTTTATTTAAAAGCTATTATTGCAAATTAATTATAATTAGCCCTGTTAATTCTGCATATTTACAGTTTTTAAGATTTTCCCTTGTTTTAGATTAAGATAATGAGTTTGGAGTGGGTATTGTGGCATAAGAGGGTAAGGCATCACTTTTTGACACCTGTGTCCCATATTGGAGAACCAGTGTGAATCCTGGCAACTTGGCTTACAATACAAATTCCTGCTAATTCCTGCTAATGTGCCTGGGATGGGGCAGATAATGGCTCAAGTGCTTGGGCCCCTGCTATCCTTGTGGGAGACCTAAATGGATCTCCTGGCTTTTGCCTAGCCCATCTTTGGCTGTTGCAGGCATCTGGGGCATGAACCAAATGGGTGGAAGGTCTTTCTGTCACTCTGACTTTTAGGTAGATGAAAATTAATTAAAAAAATTATAAAGATAATGTGCTAAATTATTTCAATATTCAATAGTAGGTTACTTGAGTCAATTACTCTTAGCCTGTCTCAAAGATTTTTGAATAATGAAAAATATGAATAAATCAATAAAAATTAATTTGACTATTGAAATGATTTAAATCAAGCTATAACTATCCATTTTTGTCTTTAATATATTTATGCAAATAAAAAACTAATAACTGGAAAAGTTCACACCCCAAGAAAGTACTTCTTACACAACTTACACTCTCCTGGGACCAAATCCATAGAAGACAGAGCTGACAAATATGTCTTTTTAAAATTGTAGAGTTTAAGCTGGCGCCACGGTTCAATAGGCTAATCCTCTGCCTGTGGCACTGGCACACTGGTTCTAGTCCCAGTCAGGGCGCCGGATTCTGTCCCGGTCACTCCTCTTCCTGACCAGCTCTCTGCTGTGGTCCGGGAGTGCAGTGGAGGACAGCCCAAGTGCTTGGGCCCTGCACCCGCATGGGAGACCAGGGGAAGCACCTGGCTCCTGGCTTCGGATCAGTGCAGTGCACTGGCCGCAGCGCTCTGGCCACAGCAGCCATTGGAGGGTGAACCAACAGAAAAGGAAGACCTTTCTCTCTGCTCTCTGTCTCTCTCTCTCACTGTCCACTCTGCCTGTCAAAAAAAAAATTGTAGAGTTTAGACATTTAGTGATTTTTCTCTGTAGGAATTTTCTATGATATTGTTGATTTTAACTATTTATTTAACAAGATATTACAATAAATGTTATAGATTAGTAATATTAAGGGTATATTATATATAATTTTGAGGACTATACATTTACTTATTTATTAAAATAAACTTATATTCTAGTTCCATGAAATTTTCTTTGAAAAGGACTTACTTACTTCTTTAAAAGGCAAAGAGACACAGAGGGAGAGACAGAGATCTTCCATCTCCTGGTTCATCCCACAAGTGACGACAATATTCAGGTCTGGGCCAGGCTGAAGCCAGGAGCCAGGAACATTATCCTGGTCTTCCACATGGATGGCAGGGGCCCAAGTATTTTGGACATCTTCCACTACCTTCTGAGGCACATTGGCAGGGAGCTGGAGCAAAAGCAGCACAGCTTGGACTAGCACTGGTACTTTGATATGTATTGCCATTCTCCCAAGTAGTGGTGGCTTAACCTGCACCACAATGCTGGCCTCTCAGGTTTATTCTTTTGATATGTCTAGATATAAAACTTTAATAGGGAAATCATCATTTTACACCTCTAAAAGTACTCATTATTACTCTCCCCTTCCACAAATACTCTAGTCTACATTGTTAAGATTAGATTGAAAATTAAGAATCCACAGAATTTAAAGTTTTATGCATTTACTTGAAGGGCAGAGTTAAAGAGAGATCTTTCATCCAATAGATCATTCTCTTTTTTTCTTAACTTTTATTTAGTAAATATAAATTTCCAAAGTACAGTTTATGGATTATAATGGCTTTCTCCCCCCACCCATAACTTCCCTCCCACTCACACCCCTCCCATCTCCCAGCCCTCTCCCATTCCATTCACATCAAGATTTATTTTCAGTTATCTTTATATACAGAAGATCGATTTAGTATACATTAAGTAAAGATTTCATCAGTTTGCACCCACACAGAACATAAAGTGTAAAATGCTGTTTCAATACTAGTTATAGCTTTAATTCACATTGGACAACACATTAAGGACAGAGATCCTACAAGAGGAGTAAGCGCACAGTGACTCCTGTTGTTGACTTAACAAATTGACAATCTTGTTTATAGCATCAGTAATCTCCCTAGGCTCTACTCATGAGTTGCCAAGGCTATGGAAGCCTTTTGAGTTCGCTGACTTCGATCTTATTCCGACAGGGCCATAGTCAAAGTGGAAGTTCTCTCCTCCCTTCAGAGAAAGGTGCCTCCTTCTTTGATGGCCCCGTTCTTTCTACTGGGACCTCACTCGCGGAGATCTTTCATTTAGGTCCTTTTTTTTTTTTTTTTCCCCCAGAGTGTCGGCTTTCCATGCCTAAAATATTCTCATGGGCTCTTCAGCTGGATCCAAATGCCTTAAGGGCTGATTCTGAGGCCAGAGCTGTTTAGCACATCTGCCATTCTATGAGTCTGCTGTGTATCCTGCTTCCCATGTTGGATCATTCTCTCCCTTTTTTATTCTATCAGTTAGTATTAGCAGACACTAGTCTTGTTTGCGTTATCCCTTTGACTCTTAGACCTATCAGTGTGATCAATTGTGAACTGAAATTGATCACTTGGACTAGTGAGATGGCATTGATACATGCAACCAATAGACCATTCTCTAAAAGGCTGCAATGAACCCAAGAACCAGGAATTCCATCCGGGTCTCCCATGTGGGTTGCAAGGGCCCAAGCTCTTGGGCCATCTTTTGCTGCTTTCCCAGGCACATTAGCAGGGAGCTGGATCAGAAGTGGAGCAATTGAGACTTGAACTGACATCACAGGCAGTCGCTTAACCAGTTATGCTACAATGCTGACCCCATCCACATATTATTTAAGCAAAATAAAGTATATGTAACTATCAAAATTCTATTTTGGGGTCTGGTGTTGTGGAGCAGCAGATTGCCACTGCCTACAGTGCCCTGGCAGTTGTGGCTACTTAGGGAGTGAACCAGCAGATGGAAGATCTCTCTCTCTCTGTCTCTGTCTCTGTCTCTCCTTTTCTCTAACTGTGCCTTTCAAGTAAATTAATAAATCCTAAAAAAGAAAAACTGTATGTATTTTTAAATATGTTAAAAACCAAACTGTAAATATTTTTCTTCTTTTTCCTTCTATAGGCATTTCTTAACAGTGTAATACTAATATGAAGAAAAAAGTGCCTGGAATCATTTTAAATGTAAAAACAGATGAAAATTGTAATTTTATGGATATTTACGTGAGTTAAATAAGAGACTCTCCAGAGTAACAGATTAACTACCCTCCATGTGTATACTATAATTTATAATTTTTTAAGAGTTTAAATCACATATTGCAAATAGAATATTTTAAGTTATGCTATTCAACTTTATTTTTGCTAGGCATATAATTTTCTTATATGGTTAACATTCCATGTTAAACATTTAATTATGTAAATTATGTTTCGGAGTACCTGTGAAAAATGATGTGTTTTGTGTTTACTCTTAGTAATATGTTCGTCAAACCATCATGTATAAAGTCCACTTTTATAATTTCTATTTAATATTTAAATAATTTTATTCAGAATTTATTGTGTTTATTTGCATTAATTTTAAATGTGAATTTTATTAAAGCCAAAAATATGAAAAAAAACCTGTTTTTTTCTTTGAATGAAAAATATTTGTGGCAGATTATACTATTAAAATATCACCAAATATAAGTGTGTATATATGTAAGTTCATACACATAATTTCAAAATGTTTTTGTACTAAAAGTTATTTTTAATTCCATTTTTTCCATGAATTCTTTGGTGTACCTCACGTTTTCTGAACTGATAGCTAGAATCCTGAGACAGCTTCTGTCTTTTGAAGTTAGAGTATGTGGTATTACTGTCTTAAATAAAAGGAAGTCTGGTTGTTGTTGGGCTGGGGAGATGTTTGTGAAAGAGCAAGAAGAAAGTATGGATTGCCTGCATGCTTTGGTTAGAAAGGTTAGAATGTAACAAATTACCTTATTATATTCAGTTAGTTTCATTCTGAAAAACTTGGGAAGTCAGAAATCTGTAATGAAAAACCACTCATCTTTTCTTTTTTCAAGATTCATTTATTTGTTTGAAAGGCATAGTTAGAGAGAGAGAGAGAGAGAGAGAGAGAGAGAGAGAGGAGAGATGGAAAGATCCTCCATCTGTTGGCTCACCCCTCAAATGTTGCAACCACGGGGCTGGGCCAGACTGAATCCAGGAGCCCCGAGCCTCAACCCTCTTCCCAGTATCCCACGTGACTGCATGGGCCCAAACACCTGCACCACCCTCCACTGTCTTCCTAGGTGCACCAGCAGGGAGCTGAATTAGAAGTGGAACAGGTGGGACTTGAACTGGTGCACATATGAGTTGGTAGCATCATAGGCAGTGGCCTCATCTGTGCCACAACACTGGCCCCAACCTCCATCCTTTTAAGGAGTAGACAAAGCACAAGTTACTTAACTGACTTTTTATCACTTTGGTTCCAGATTTATATTGGTATCATGAAGACATTTGCATCTCTGTTGTATGGAAGCCATCATACCAATTTTAGCATCTTTGATCCCTTCCATAACTGAGTGCATTGCAGTTATTGATGATTGTAAACATCCATTCTCCTTTGTCCATTAGAAAGCCAAGCTCAAAGATGCCTGATGGCTTCAGGAATTCTATGAAATGATATTCTAAATTATCCTTTTATTTGTTGTGGCCTATGGGCCAAGATCTAGTAATTATTTTCAGAAAACCTGAAAGGGGATTGGCATTGAAATTTGGCAATAATTCTGTGTAATAAAGAATGGGAAGAATGCTGTATTTTTAGTTGGTTTTGTTTATCTTGGTAATTATAATATTTATACATTTAGAAAAATATATTTTATGCTTATAACTGTCTAGAGAGCTGAGAGCCTTTTTTTAAAAAATAAAAGTGAAGAGGTTATTGAATAATGACAAATAAGAACTTATGGTGAAATGCATTTGGCTAAAATACTAAAAATAGACCAAAGGACACTCATGATTAGTATAGTTTCAATAAAGTAAGTTATTTCAGATGCAATTCTGTGAAATTAAATTTTAAACATTCTCATAGATGACTAATGTGCCTCAAAATGTATTCTATGATGTATATTTCTATAAAGTCCACAGAATAAAAGCATCGTATTGCAATAATGTTTACTACATGACACTCATTTGCTCATTGAACTAATTTCAACATAGCGAAGTTGAGGGGATAATGAATCGAAGACTTTCAATTTGTCCCAACAGAGAACATTTTCTCACCCAGGGTCGTTGGTGTTTCAAGGTAAACAGGGTGAAACATTCAGTGGTTCCTTAGCAAAGTAACATCTGCACACCAGAGAAAAGCTCTCGTCTAAGCAGAAAGGCAGGAGGTTAGCAATGCTTTCTCCAGGCAGTGAAACTGCATAACTCCTTACCCTTCCTTTTCACTTTCTATTGAATGTTGCATCTTTTGCCTTGAAAAGCAAGATGCATTTCCTAAAGCTAGCCCTTGAGAGCTTCTAGAAGATAGGAAATGTGTTTCCATTTGGGGGCCCTGATACATGTTTTTGTCTTATTGCTTTGTACATGGTACCAATTGATTACTTGATTGGAAAATCCAAACCTATCTAGAGTAGCTTTCCCTCGCATCTCCTTGCTTAATTTTTTAATATTGTGTATCAGTCTATGCGGTATAAATTAGTTTCTTATGTATTGTTATGCATTTGGCCATAAAGACCTGCCCTCCTGGTCCGGACCTCTTGTCTCAGTACAGAAAGAGTGGAGTCCAACAGGTTGCGAAGCAAAAGCAAGTTCGTTTGTTGTGGAGAAAAGCAGAACAGGCTCCTCTGGGAGACAAGGGACTCCAGAGCTGGGTGTCCCTGATCATTCCCCCCTACTCCCTTTCTCCCCTCTTGCACTTGTCTCTCTTAATTCTCATCCCCAGTGTTCGTTCTCAGATTGGGCCTTCCTCTGATCATGCACCAGGAAGGCTTGGTGCGATTGGGTATGATTGGGTCCCTTGCCTGGGTGCGAGCACCGTGAAGTGATTGTGATTTGCCTTTCCAACGTTCCTGTGCTACCACGCTGACTCTGTCTAATGCAGCCTTGTAGTTGGGTCAGTCGGTTTTCCTCAGCCTGCCAGCTCTTCTAGCCCTGCCTGGATTCCCCTTTCCCTGCATATTCCTCCACAGTAAATAAGGTGTACCAGACAGAATGTCTTCCGAAGGATTTCTAGCTGCTAGAACTGTGTCTGGCTCATACTACTATAAAAAGTAAACAGTAAGAGTCACTTGAGGTAGTTTCATCATTGCACCAAACTCACAGGGTGGACTTGCAAAAACTGAAATGGCTACACTAGGGTGGCATTGTGGCACCATGGGTTTGTGATCCCTCATCCCATATTGGAGTGCTGGCTCAAGTCCCAGCTGCTTTGCTTCTGATTCGGTTCCCAGCAAACACATCTGGGAAGGAGATAGAACATGGAATGTGATAGGGGCTTCCTGAGATAAAGAAGCAGGACCTGTCCTGGGAAAAGAACCTGGCAGTATCAACTTGCTTGTGACAGCTTCAACATCTGCCTGTCAGCACAGTGCTGTAGTGTTAGCCAGTTCAGGTATAGTTTGCTATATATGGGGGGAAGCTCTAGATGTAAGGGAAACTGCTTAACATTATCAATGATAATGTGGCTTAGCATGTTCAGCTGTTGCCTGTAGTTCCAGCATCCATAAGGGCGCTGGTTCATGTCATGGCTGCTCCACTTAAGATCCAGCTCCCTGCTAATGCACCTGGGAATGCAGTAGAGGAGGGCTTGGGCCCCTGCACCCAGGTTGGGGACCTAGAAGAAGCTTCTAGCTCCTGGCTTCAGACTGGCCCAGCTACTGCCATTGTGGTCATTCAGGGAGTAAACCAGTGAATGGAAGATCTTGCTCTCTGTAACTGTTCCTTTCAAATAAATAAAATGAATCTTTTAAAAAATTTAAAACATCAGTAACTATGTATACATACAGGACCTTTTAGCAATCCCTATAGCTGTCATGTAGCATTAAAGCATCCACTTGGAATGTATGCAGCCATATAAGGGAGACAAAGGAGCTAAAAGGTATATAAGGAAATGCCTCTCTGTGTTTGGGGCACAGTCTTCTGGGAGTGAATCCACTGGCCTCATGCCAGCATGGACAAAGCTGCTTCTTGCTAAAAGCCTAAGTGTCTTGTCTTTCTGATCTAAAAGCTTCCTGCTATAGGACCAAATGCTTGGGTCTCTACCATCCATGTGGGAGACCTGGATCTCCTGGCTTCAGCCTGGCCCAAACCTGGCTGTGGCAGCCTTTTGGGAAATGAACCAGCAGATGGAAGATTCTCTCTCACTCCTTTCCCATTTCTCCTTTCTCTCCCTCTCCCTACTTCCTGTCTCTCTCCCTCCCCATCTCCCTCCCTCCCTCCCTCCCTCCCTGTGTCACTCAAATACATACATACACACAAGTTTTAAAAATTGCAACAATATCACTGAACAGTAAAATCTTACAGTACCAGCCCCATTTATGCTGTCCACAGTTGGACTGAAATGTCATCATGCTGTGCATGACTGTATCACATAAGCCAATGAATGAGATAAAGAACACATTGTAACTCACAATAAAAGCAGAGTATTTAGGGATCACTATTGAGAAATTGTTCAGTTACTCACCAAAACTCTTCTATGTTTTATGTGAATCCACTGTGTTCATTCATCAGGATAAGCTGTCTGCTTCATTCCTTCCCTGCAAGCATTTCCGTTTACCCAGTCACAGATATTGAAACTGCTAGAGCCATTTAACCTTAGAGGCGGAAATACAAATGCCTATAAGCCCAGTGATTAACACAAAGGATTAGACTGAGCTGCAGCTCCCACAGCGTGTAGGTGGGGACAGGTGTCAGCCCTGGCTCAACTGCAGGTTACAAGTCTGGCTTCTCTGGGAGATTTGGAATCTGTGTATATGGGAAATATCTCAGTTTCCTTGTCATTTCATTGGAAAAATGTTAGTATGAGTATACCATGCCAATCCAATAGAAAACTTCAGCCCTGTTTGAGTCATAAACTGCCATCATTTGACATCTGATGGGTATTTTAACTTGGGGATTTTTGTAGCTTGGTTTCCTGTCATCTCCTTTGAAGAACAGGATCCCTCTTCTGTCAGGTTCCTATGGCAGTTTGGAGATGGGTTGGTATTTTTGCCTAGGCTTTGACCTTACAGACCCCTAAAGTCTTGCTCTGGAAATTCCTCCTGGGCACCATCTGTGCTTACGGTCGTGGGCAAGGGAAACCCCATCTTTCCACCTTTCACAGGACATGGAGTTGCCCCTTGATTTCGCAGGTTTTACTAGTAGTGAGTGGAGAGGTCCATGAAGAGGGGCAGAGATGGGAGAGAGAGGAAGGGAGAGCATGAGGTACAGAGACTATTTGCCTATCTGCCTCAAGTCTATCAAGCACATCCTAGGGGCTTGGTATAAAAGATATATATTTGAGGGAGTGGTCAGTTATAAATACTGGGAAAAATCTTTCTTGTGACCCTTTTTCTCAACTTAGTTGAGGAGCTATTTTTTTTTCCCAAACAATTAAAACTATGCTTGGGGGCAGGCATTTGCTATAGTTAGTTAAGCAGCTGGGTGGAAAGACTTCATCTCGTATCAGACTACTTGGGTTCAAATCCCTGCTCTGTTCCTGATTCCAGCTTCCTGCTAATGTTAACACTATGAGGTAGTGATGACTCAAGTAACTGGGTCCTGCTGCCCATGTAGGTGATGCTTGAGCTGAGTTCCAGGCTTCTGCCTTCAGCATGGCTCAGCCCTGGCTAAGATTGGCATTTGGGGAGCCACATGGAATCATTCTCTCTCTCCCTCTCAAAGAAAATAATTGTAGTCGGGAGGTGTTGCGGTTGATTTTTTCTGAGATGATTCGTTCTTAGAGGATTCGTTCTGAGAGGAGCGTGGTAGGGGCAAGAGGCACGGAGTCACCACACAGACCCCGGGAGTCAGGTGAAAGCAGGCCAGAGGTGAGCAGCCTGCAGACTCGTTTATTTCAGTTGCTACAGCTGCTTATATAGCCAAGGCAGCCAATCCAGTCAAGGGGTGGTCTATGCCTTAACCAATCACAGTCTGTTGCCAGGCAGTTTCCAAAGCCATCCAATCACAGCCTGTTGCCAGTCAGGCTTTACTGCCAGGCAGTTTCTGAAACCATCCAAGCATAGCCTATTGTTAGTCAGGCTTTGTTGTCATGTGGTTTCCGAAGTCATCCAATTATAGCCTGTTGCCAGTTTCTGTTGTCAGTGGCCATCTTGGCATGATCTTCTCACCTCAGCGGCCATCTTGGCATGACCTTCTCACCTCAGCAGCCATCTTGGCATGACCTGCTCACCTCAGCAGCCATCTTGGCATGACCTTTTCACCTTCTCATTCCACCACAGGGAGGTCACATAAAGATTGTTGGAGGATTAAATTTCAACAATGCAGCCAATCTCTTTAAATATGAGATTGTATCCATGCAGGTTTCTCCAGTTCTGCTACAAAGCAAAAGCAAAAATCAAAGGAAAACAAATGAAAGAAACTCGTGAGTCTTGTAGTCATGATTAGCAGCTGCACACACATCAGAGAGCCAGTGTCTACTGGTACATTCACTAAATGACAAGGTCAAATTCAGAGACACTAACTGATTTTTTGTAAAGCAGCCTCATCCAACCAATGCCACATGATAGAACTTCAGCCTTAGGCTCCAATCTCAGGAAAAACATGCTTTTGATATTTTTGTGCTATGGTGTTACAGAAGCATAGAAAGAGAGATGGGGATCAGAAAGCAAAGTGAATTTATATGAGGACGATTAGGGATGAAAGTAGATGATTATGAAGAAGCCTTTAGGGTCTAGAGGCGCTGTCTACGCAGGCCAGTACTGTGCCTGCAGCTGGCCCTGATCCCCTCTGAAACTTAACGGAACACAGACACACACACACAGACACACACACACACAAGCAAATGTGAGAGTACCTCAAAAAGTTTGCAAAAAATACAATTAAAAGATAAGTTTATTTGGATGCAAAAATCTTTGAAATTTATGAATAAGTTTTTCATTTTACACATTTTCCTGGAACTTTCTGAAGACTATATGTGTGTGCATGGGTTTCAAAATTTTTGCACCCAAAGAATCTTTTATTTAAAAAATATTTTAAAAATGTGTTGGAGAGGGGGCTGGCACTGTGGCATAACAGGTGAAGCTGCCACTTTAGTGCTGGCATCCCATATGGGTGCCAGTTTGACTTCTGATTCAGCTCTCTGGTATGCCCTGGGAAAGCAATAGAAGATGGACCATGTTCTTGGGCCTCTGTACCCACATGGGAGACCTGGAAGAAGCTCCTGGCTCCTGACTTCAAATCAGCTCAGTTCTGGCCACTGTGGCCATCTGGGGACTGAACCATAGGGTGGAAGACCTCTCTCTCCCTCTCCCTCTCCTTCTCCCTCTCCCTCTCCCTCTCCCTCTGTCTCTGCCTCTCCCTCTCTGTAGCTCTGCCTTTCAAATAAATAAATAAATCATTAAAAAATGTATTGGAGAGATAGAGAAAGATACTTCATCCACTGTTTCACTTCTGCTTCACAAATGCCTATAACAGCCCAGGCTGGACCAAGCCAAAGATAAGAGCCCTGAACTGGATTTTGAGTGTAAATCATGTGTATGAAGCTGAAATGGTCCAAGAGAGATGAGAGTGAAGACAGAGTCAGGGCAGTGTAAGATCCCAGGAGCTTTTGCTAAGACTTTTGGTCCCCTTTAAATACTAATGAGAAAAGTGCCTATCAGGAGAGCAGATTTCTGAGAGGTCAAGAGATGAGTTCTAGAACAAAGACAGAAGAACTAGAGAACATTATAGTGTTTAAATAAATCAAAACAGGTCGGTGCTGTGGCTCACTTGGCTAATCCTCCGTCTGCGGCTCCAGTACCCCGGGTTCTAGTCCCAGCTGGGGTGCTGGATTCTGTCCCAGTTGCTCCTCTTTCAGTCCAGCTCCCTGCTGTGGCCCAGGAAGGCAGTGGAGGATGACCCAAGTGCTTGAGGCCTGCACCCGCATCGGAGACCAGGAGAAGCACCTGGCTCCTGGCTTTGGATCGGCACAGTGCAAAGGCCGTGGCGGCCATTTGGCGGGTGAACCAATGGAAGGAAGACTTCTCTCTGTCTCTTTCTCTCACTGTCTAACTCTGCCTGTCAAAAATAAATAAATAAATAAATCAAAACATCAAGGGGTTGGTGCTGTGGAATAGTAGGCTGGCACTCCACCTGCAGAGCTGGCATACCATATGGGTGCTTGTTTGAATCCTGGCCACTCTTCTGATCCAGCTCTACTATGGCCTAGGAAAGCAATAGAAGACCCCATGTGCTTGGCCCTTGCACATGCCTGAGAGACCTGGAAGAAACTCCTGGCTTCTGGCTTCAGATCCACCCAGCTCTGGCTGTTGCAGTCATTTGGGGAGTGAACCAGCTGATTGAAGACCTTTCTCTATGTCTTTCCTTTTCTGCCTGTAACTCTGCCTCTCAAATAAATAAATAAATCTTTAAAAAAATGAGAACATTAACACATTCGTTATATGAAAGTTCTTGTGTAATTTTTTGAATAAATGATTATCAGGTGTATGACCTGGGGTGAAATGTCGAATCTCTTTCTCTCTGTTTTCTCATCTCTATGAGGATAAAATGCCAACTTCATAAAGAAACAGATCAGTTAGTATCAAAGTGCTCAGAAGAGTGCCTTGGATAAAATAAGTACCACGAAATGTTAAATAAGTGCAGTAGCATTCCTGATGCCTAGTATGCACTACACCTGCCAGTATGGACTCAGGGAGCCTTGTTGCTAAAATACTGTAGTGATCTGACTAGTGCTTGGCCTGGGTTTGCCAGCTCCCCAGGACTCTACTGTGAACACAGATGTTTCTACCACTTCCGCCAGACAGTGCAGACAAAGTGATGGGGTAGGAAGCAGCAGCACTCAACATAAGTAAGTTGGTTCATAACTGTTGTAGTCTTCTTACAAAATCTTTGTGTTACTTACCTGTTCAGAACTGAAGGATGCTCTTTGTCACTCTGCCTCTCAAATAACAATAAGAGGAATGGGTGCTGAGCCTGGTGGTTGAGATGCCCACATCCGACATCAAAGTACCTGAGCTTGATTGTCTGCTGCGGCTCCTGACTCCAGCTTCCTGCTTATGTAGATCTGGTAGATAGGATGATGGCTCAAGTAGTTGGGTGTTTGGCACTCACATGGGACACCTGGACTGAGTTCCTAGCTCAATTCCAGATGTTGTAGGCATCTGGGGGAGTAAAGCAGTGGATGGGAGTATCCTCTTTCCCTTTGTCTGTCCTTCCAGTATTCTGTTTTTCTGCTTCTATAATATCATAATAAAAAAAGACTGACAGATGAACTACATTTGATTATTATTGCTGTTTTTCCCCAATGAGGCATTTTATTTGTATGTATATATTATATCTTTACAAAGAGAATCCCAATATTTTCCCTCCTGTGCGTTTTTGTTTTACTTCTTTGTGGTCCATTAGACTGTCTGAGGTTGTCAGTACAACAAAACCACACTGATGGGATTGGAGCAGATCATTCTGGCATTTTTTTTAAGATATTTTATTTGCACATCATGTCTGAGGTTACTAACTCCACACTTGTTTAACTTGCCTTTGAAGTTGAAGAGAATTTCCCCAACTCTGTGATCATCAATGATTTGAAGCTTTCCAGTGTAACTATGTCTTATCATAGTTAGCAACTGGAGGATGACTTTGGAGCAGAGCTTGGTAAGACAGTAGCATTTGCTTCTCGTTTTGGTGCTGTTGATGCCCTTGAGAGCATCAACCAGGATATTCATGAGCAACATTAAAGTATCATGGACAGAGGAAAGAGATCATTATTATTAACAAACCTATGTTGAAAGCAATGTGCCCAATGGATAACTGTAGCTATCTGCCATTTTCCTTTGGAAAAAGGAAAAACAGATTGAGCATCCCTAATCTGAAATTCTCCAAAATCTGATACTTTTTGACAATTTGACATGATGCCACTCATGGAAATTTCCACAGCTGACCTCATAGGATAGTCGTAACAAGATGCAGGCAGGATGGGCCTTGTGGCTCAGTGGGTTAATCTGTCACTTGCAATGCCTGCATCCCATATTGGAGTGCCTGGGTAAAGTTTCAGCTGTTCTGCTTTTGACCCAGCTTCTCGTTAATGTATATCCTGGGAGGTAGCAGATGATGACTTGAATTCATGAGTCCCTGCCACCCATGTGGGAGAACTGAATGGAGTTCCAGGCTCCTGGCTTCAGTCTGGGCCAGTCCTGGATATTGTGGGCATTTGTGGAGTAAATCAGCAAATGGAAGAGCAATGTTTCCCTCCCACCCCCATTCCCCTTTCCCTGTTGCTCTGCCTTTCAAATAAATAAATAAATCAATAAATCTTTACAAAGATAAAAGTGTGCTAAAATATTTTATGAAATTGCCTTCAGGCTATGTCTGTAAGGTGTATATAAAACAATTAATTTAATATTTAGACTTGGTTCCTGTCCCCAAGATGCCTCATCATGTACAATTATATGCAAGTATTCTAAAATCCAAAAAAAATCAAAATTCTAAACACTTCTGCTCCCTGGCATTTCAGATAAGCGATATTCAACCTGTAATATAATTTGTTCCAAATGGATGTCTAGACAAAAAAAGATCAGTTGGGAAACCCAAATAGACTCTTTATAGAACATGGACGTTGGCAGAAAAATGAATTCCAGTCAGACCTGCTTAGTTTGTCTTCATTGCGGAGCCAAGCTGACCTCAGGAGAGGCAGACAGACGCGTTTCCTGAGTGCACACTGGACAGGAGCTCCAGATGCTTCTAGAGAGCTTCCAGAAGTCGTGCCATGTGTTTGGTAATCAAACATCCCACTCTAGAAAATCAAAGTAAATTTTCCTCAGAATCCATTCAAAGCTTATCTTAAAAATTGGTTTAATTTTAGTGAACATTTGCTTATTTTTTTCTTTATGAGCCTCAACTGTTTCAGGTGTTGGCTGGCTCTGGCTTATCTTTCCTGGGGCAGATTTTACCTTCTCTGGGAAAGTTTCCCATTTTCCCTCCTATTTTCAGTCTCTACACCATGAATAGAAGCTTCTATGGCAGACAAATGTGGCATGAAAATGTTGACCATTCACCAACAAAAATAAGTATACATGGAAGAAACAGTAAGACTATACAACGGTAGCTATTGATTTGAGCATATTTAAGGTTATTTTCTTTTAAAGATTTATGTACTTACTTGAAACTCAGAGTTACACACAGAGAGAAGGAGAGGCAGAGAGAGAGAGAGAGAGAGAGAGAAAGATGTCTTCCATCTGCTGTTTCACTCCCCAGCTGGCCGCAACAGCTGGAGCTGCACTGATCCAAAGCCAGGAACCAGGAGCCAGGAGCTTCTTGCGGGTCTCCCATGCGGGTGCAGGGACCCAAAGATTTGGGGCATCTTCCACTGCTTTCCCAGGCCATAGCAGAGAGCTGGATTGGAAGTGGAGCAGCAGAGTCTCAAACAGGTGCCCATATGGGATGCTGGTGTTGCAGGTGGCAGCTTCAACCACTACGCCACAGCGCTGACCCCAGTGTCTTCATTTTTAATAAACCTGTTGAAGTGTAATACACTGGAAGGAAAGTATACAAAGCATGATTGTACTTTTTGTTCTATGAGCACATCAGGGTACCATGATCCAAATTCCAGAAGCTGTTTTGTTCCCCAGCTCGTTCCCTACGTCATGCTTAGGATTAATGCTCTTCTAACACCATAGAGTAGTGTTTTCTCCTTTTGAACTTTGTATAGGAAATATCCAGTTATTCTGTTTTGTGTCTGTACTCCTTTGCTCACTGTTATGTTTATGAGCTTTATCTGTAATATCATAAATCATTGTCATTATCATTTGCAAAATGCTGCTCTGACAATGGTGAAACGGAGATCGTTTTTAGAATGAACATTTTCTTGCTTGTTTATTAATCATATTTCATCTCTCACTGATTGTCTTTTTATGCCCTGGTTAGTATGCTGATGTGATAGGTGTTTTTCATGGGAAAGACTGGAACATGGACACTTTTCTGCAGCTACAAAGAAGCTGTGTGGGGCAGTGGTTAGGAACACTGGCTCATGAAGCTAGATCTGAGTTCTGCCACTTTCCAACTAGGGAATCCTGAGAAGCCACCAAGTCTTTCTAGATTTCAGTTTTCCAATCTACAAGTGGAATCATAATCATCAGCTTGTAAGGTTTGTAAAAGCTCAGGTCAGCAACCACAGCTAGATGCTCTCATGGCAAAGCCACGAACTCTTTCAACTTTGAAAAGAAAGCTTGAAAATCTGTTTGAATCAGGCTCAAACTCTCAAGAACCAGTTTATCTCTCTTAAAATGTGATAATGAGCATTATATTTAATTGATATGAAACTAGCTGTTCACTTAAAATGCAATATGGACTTAGTATAGAGTTTTGCTTTTCACTGATTGGAGAAAATTCAGTGGAAATCTTTTCTGCCCCCTAGTGGATTTGAAATCCAAAACACATGAAATAATTTCTAGCTTTTTGCTGCAAAATATCTCACATAAATATTTAGTTTTTCTATTATATCAAATATATTTATGTATGTATTCAAAACTACCTGGGTTTCAAATAAATAGAAACAGCCTAATTTAGATTAGCAACAAAGATCATTTATGGAGGGCATTGTTGTGGTGCAGTGAATTAAGCCGCCACTTCGGATGCCAGCATCTCATATTGAGTGGTAGTTCAAGTCCCAGCTACTCTGCACTTCCAGTCAAGCTTCCCAATAATGTACCTGGAATGAAGAAAATGATGGTTCAACTACTGAGTCCTGATACCCATTAGGATACCCATTAGGATGGAGCTCCTGGCTCCTGGCTATGGCCTGGCTCAGCTTTGGTTGTTGAGGCCACTTGGGAAGTTAACCAACAGATGGAAGATCTTTCTCTTTCTCTGTGTCTCTTTCTCTCTGTGTCATTCTGCATGCCAATAAATAAATGAATCCTTAAAAACCGAGAGATCAATTATGGGTGTGAGTTATTTGGGTAATCATAGATTCAAACTTCAATCTTGAGAAGGATGGGATTCAGGAAGCTCCTGGGCCCATAACAGTAAGAAAGTACGGAAATTCCTTGAGACTGCTTCCCTTGATCAAATTCAGCTCATGAAATACCTTGTTTTTTGTTCCAAGGTGAAAGTTCTTGGTGGTAGGATCTGACAATGACTCAGACTGGATCGAAAGGTAAGCTTCTCATTGTCATCTGCTGGCAAATGTGCTTGGAGAGGGCACTTAGATGTGCAGTCTGTCAAAGATCCTGCTTCTGTGAAATACTGAATGTCTCTTTAATTCGTTTGCTTGAGTTAAATGCCAAGAAGAGAAGCCATAATAGGGGTAAGGAGGAAGAAGTTGACTTCTGTTTATTTTACTAATTCCTCTGCATTGCTGATTTATCATCCCTGTGCAAAAGGGCCTTCAGGGATTCCTGGAATGTACTCAGTTTGCTGTAAAGAACTAGAATCTCCCTCCATCATTGTGTGAAGTTCTGTTATCATTATTAAAATAGCAACTTCCAAATTTAGAATTTCAGTCCAGCAGCTTTAAAGCATTAGTGGAATGGCTTAAAATATGAAGTATCAATAAGTGAAAGGATTTCTAAACTATGTTCTTATGGAAAGTATTTTATGTTTATTAAACCATACACAATGATTATTTGTTTTTAAATGTATATCATATTCAAAACATCAGATTAAACTGTTTCTTGTGCCATTTCATCTCAAAAGGATTCTAGAAGGTAGATATTAGTGTTCAGCTGTATTTTGACAATAGGGCATGCAGATGAGATTTTTAATAACTTCCTCAAGGTTATATAAATAACAAGTTTCATAGTTTTAGGATTTGATCCCAGGTTTACTGACTCCAAGCCTGATGTTATTTGGACCTTATCACAATGTCTCAAATAGTACAGATTCTTTCAGTTGGGTCTAAGTGAGTCCAGTGGATGTCATTCCTGGGGTGCTGGACTGGTGCTGGTATCTGTAGGGCAGATCTAAGTGAAAGAGGAGTTCTTAAGTCAGCCTGGGCAGAGAGGATGAGTTCCATGCAAAAGAAAACAAGTCAAATGCATAACCAGAAAAGGCAAAAGCATGCAGAAAATCTTAGATGTGAGTCTAGGAAACAATAGGGACAAGAGTTTGGTATCTGGGAGAGTGAAGAGGGAGCAGAGAAGATTTGAAGAGGCTTTGTTTAAGAAATAGCCTGTGAATAGGGGTAGATTGAATACACTGGAACATGGAGGGGAAGCATTGAGTGTCATTGATGGTGAAAGGAGTGACATGGAGGAGCTGGAAACAGGAATTGGAGATGGGAGAAGCCAGGAGGCCACCACTTCCAACAGCAAAGAGGACACCTAGTATTTTCTCTGCATATTAATGTTATGATTGGCACACATCTAGTGTAGACCAGGCTGCAGGCATATTAACAACTGTATGAAAAAAACCCCAAGCTTTTCTTGCCATAATTATTCAACTTAGACATCAATAATGCTAACCAATATTTCTCTCTGATTTTTTAAAAAGATGTTTATTTATTTTCATGAAAGGTAGAGAGAGAGAAAGACACACACACACATACACACACAGAAACAGGAGAGAGAGAGAGAGAGAGAGAGAGAGAGTCATCTGCTTGTTTATTCCACAATTCCATGCAACAGCCAAGGTGCACGAAGCCAGGAGCCTGGAATTCCAATCAGGTCTCCCACATGAGTGTCAGGAACCCAAGCACCTGAGCCATCATCTGCTGCCTCCCAGGATGCATTAACATGAAGCTAGATTGGAAGTGGAGTAGCCAGGATTTGAACCAGTGACTCTGATATGGGATGTGGTGTCCCAAATAGTGGTTTAACCTACTATGCCACAATGTTTGTTGTGCTTCATGTCTTGGGATGACAATGGTACACTGGAACACTTTTTAACTCCAATCACTTTCCTCATGATGACATGTAATTGTTATTTAGAATTTTAGTTTCACCTTTGGATATTCCCAAATTAAGCATCATGGTTGTTGAGCCTATATTCTTTTTGATTTTTCACATGTTAATTGTTACATTTGGTCACCATGGTTCCGTGCAACCCACTCATTCTTTGGGGTTTAATTTTTTTCTTCCTGAAGATTTTCTAGTTAGAATATGGGAGTAGTTACTTCTTAGTCTTTGTTAGTTCAATTAAATCTTTGGTTTTCTACACAGGCTTGACAAAGGTGCAGGGTTCTTTTCCCCCAGCACTTGTGATTTTATTCTGTTTTTGGTCTCTTTTGATGCCCTTGAGAGGTCTTTTGTATGTCTAATTGCTGTGTGTTGTAATTTAGTTTTTCTTCTTTAGTGTTCCTTTTTAAAATTTTTAAAATTTTTTTAAAGATTTATTTATTTATTTGAAAGTCACAGTTACAAAGAGAGAGGAGAGGCAGAGAGAGAGAGAGGTTTTCCATCTGATGGTTCACTCCCCAATTGGCCGCAATGGCCCGAGCTGCGCAAATCCGAAGCCAGGAGCCAGGAGTTTCTTCTGGGTCTCCCATGCAGGTGCAGGGGCCCAAGCACTTGGGCCATCTTATACTGCTTTCCTAGGCCACAGCAGAGAGTTGGATCAGAAGTGGAGCAGCTGGTTCTCGGACTGGCACCCATGTGGGCCAGGGCGTTAACTCAATGCTCCACAGCGTCAGCCCCCTTTTGGGTTACTTTTAAGCTGGACAAAGTGGACAGATATTTATTATTCACATACTACAGTATATTTTATAGAGTCACAATCACATAGCGACAAAACCATGAAGACAAAAAATGTCAAGATAATAGATAATCCCAGAAGGAAAGGAAGGAGACTTTGTTTGAAGAAAGCAGCAGCCTATTTAAGTTTTGCAAAGTTGTTTTTATTTGAAATGGAAGATTTTAAGTGGATGTTTATTGTTTTTTAAATCTTAGTCATTTCACATTTAGACAAAATAAGGCTAGATCTAGCACAGTCCATCTGTGCTTAGCATTTTATGATTACAAAATGGATGATCTGAAAAATTTATAGGAGATACAGTCCTTGAATAGTGCATCTTTTGGAATGGTTTGATCAGCCCAAGTGATCCTTTTCTTGTGATATGGTTCACAATAAAAAATTTTAAGGCAAATGATTGGCATTCCACATATCACTAAAATGAAAGTTAGTTTATAGCTCCATTCACCATTTATGCTTGAGGGGCTCCTATGTGCTGCTAATGAGAAGAGTAAAGAAATGGGTCTTGTCTTCACCAACCTCTCATTCTAAGGGCGAGAGACACAGTGCAGCTTCATCCTATCATGAATTCTAGCAGGATGGTGATCAGACAAAATAAAAACCCTCTTTCTGTAGCTAAAAATGCTGGAGACAGAATAGCCAAAATATGTTAAGATGTGTAGCTGGGTTTTTCAGAAAGAAAAAGAAACTCCAAGCTCATAGATTTGAAGAAAGAACTAAAAATGGTAAGAGTCCCTGAGTGGATGCTGCTGCCTCCATGTGTTTCATATCTTCCTGTCTCCCTGGTGGGGGCCTTGGTGAAAGAGGAAGCCTTGGGTTCATGCAAGGTGGGAAATTATTTGAATGCATTTACCCAACTCATTACTATCACCCCTGAAATCTTAAAACAGTGAAAGTAGACTCACAGAGAAATGCAATAAGGTACCAGATTGGAGCCAAGTGGCCAGATATGGCTGAGATAAGCTTATTTAACACCCCAATGCCAACTTGGAAGCTGTAGGGGCATAATATTCAGGCAGCGGAGCGTTGGCAGAGTCTGATAAACCCCAGTGCCACCATAGGCTGCATTCTGTGCCCTTCAATCTTGATGTCATCTGTATCAGGAAGGGCAAGAAAACACTTCTCCTAGGTTCAAAAATTGAAGACTAAAAGAAAAATTGCAACCACAGGCCCAATTAGCTTTTCCCCAAAATTAAAGTTAGTAAAATGTACATGTTTATGTAAAAGTCGTGTGTTAAAAGATATTGTTTATACTAATTAATTTAGGGTCAAAATGCCTTTTGTAAAATGTGAGCTGTTGGTTCCCTTTCTCATAAGTAGATCTATCTCCTAACTGGCATTGCATGTAATAAACTCAGAGACTTAGAATCCAACCAAGAGTTTCATAGTTGACTAGATGCTAAAAATGGGTCCCTTAGGAGGAGAAAGGGAGGTGGCATTGAGAGCTTTCTTTTTTTCTCCTTGGAGCCCAGGATGTTGCTTGTAAGCTGGCCAGGGATGTGAGGAGAGCAGGAAGACTTGCTTGAGGCAATCGTCTCTCTCTCTCAACCCTGCAAATAAATCGCACAAAATCTTTCATATTGATAGTAACTATAAAAAATAATGGAGGGATTGGTGTTGTGGTGTGAAGGGTTATGGTGTGGCTGGTGATGCTGGCATCCCATATTAGCTCTGCCTAACCTGTTTTGGCAGGTGCAGGGAAAGAATGCCGCCTGAATGGCTTCCACTGTGTCTTTGAGTAACCTCGTCATGCACTTCAGTGCATTCACTGGGGCACATATTACACTTATGTTTATTTCTGTATTTACTTAACATGCTCACACATTTCTGGAACATTGTGAACATCTGGCTCTACAACAGGCTGATGTGGGAGATAATTTGTTTAGGGGAATAGAGAGAGCTCTTTTAGTGACAGAAGATTGGAGAACTAGAGTAAGAATTAAAACTTGGGGAATTCAACTGATCTAGGTAGCAGACTTGATAGAGCCCAGCTGCTGGGATAATAGTGGGACTTACGTTTTGTTCTGTTGAACTTTCAGGTTCTAGGGAGGCACTGGATTGTGTTGACCTTGGCCATGCATCCATCCCTGGCTAGGGAGCCTCTGCAATTGAATTCCATCTTATGAGACACTACACAATAGGGCAAGGTAATTCTCCAAAGCAATTGAGATGCTTTGTTGAAATAACTTCAAATACATACTGGAAAGCCAAAGAGCCACAGGTAGAGTAGAAATGTTCGTGATGACAACTTTCTGCTTTACTGAGACAATTAAAAATATCCAGAAAAACAGAGGAGCAAAAAATTTTTTTGTCTTGATGTACCAGTTATGGCTGAAGGTGAAATGACCAGAAAGAAACCCAGATTCTGTAATGAAATGATGAGAGTTGTCGTGCATTTCTGTGCTCAGAACTAAAGAATCAAATTTTCGTGTTTAATAATCTAGTCATACCTTCAAATATTCAATCTGTTTTTCTTCACCTTAATTATGAATAGTTAACACTACTCTGTGATTTTTTCTTGTTATCTTATCCTTTCTCAGTTGCCAATTTAACTTCTCCAAGAGCAGACATTTAAAAATAAACTTTATTGCAGAATAATTTTAGATTAGCAGATAAGTTGCAAAGATGGTATAGACTTCCCATACACTCCTCAGGCAGCCACTCCCATCATTAAAATCTTATAGTTCTATGGTCTGATTGTCAAAAACTAAGAACTTTACATTAGTCCATTACTAAGAACTTAATTGCAGACTTTAATATGGATTCTATTAGGTTTTCCATGCATGTTTTCCTGTTACTCCAGGATTGAATGCCTGGTACTAGACTATATTTAATATCCACAAGTCTTAGTCCCCTCTGTGATACTTTTTCAGTCTTCCATTGTCTTTCAGGATCTTGACAGGCTTGAGAAGTAGAGGCCAGGGACCCTTTAGAATGTACCCCAAATCTGGGCTTGTCTGATGATTTGCTCATGGTTAGACTGGTTGTTGTGAGGGGAATGAATACTGCAGAGTCAAAACGCCCTCCCCATCACATGAATACATCATCCTGTGGTGTCACCAGTGATGCACACCTTCATCACTTGGTGAAGGTGGTGTTTGCTACCTCTGGCCGCTGCAGAGTCCCTGCTTCCCCCACCCCTACTGTATTATAAGGAAACCAGTTGCTAAAACTATCCAAACCCAAGAGCTGTGGTTTATTTATTTTTATCTTTTAAAAGATTGATTTATTTATTTGAAAGGCAGAGTTACAGAGGGGGGGAGATAGATAGAGAGAGAGAGAGAGAGAGAGAGAGAGAGGTCTTCCATCCACTGGTGCACTTCCCCAAATGGTTGCGATGGCTGGAGCTGTGCTGATCCAAAGTCAGGAACCAGGAGCTTCTTCTGAGTCTCCCATGTGGATTCAGCGGCCCAAGGACTTGGGCCATTTTCTGCTGCTTTCCCAGGCACATTAGCAGGGAACTGGAATGGAAGTGGAGCAGCCAAGACTTGAACTAGTGCCCATATTGGATGCCGGCATTGTAGGTCGTGGTTTTACCTGCTAGTGCCAGCCCCCAAGAGATGTGGTTTAAGCTCTACCTATTGGACAAGGGAATCTCTACTTCTGTTATTTTGAATTTTCCTATAAGGAAGCTTTGTGATAGAAGACTTTTTCATTCCACTTGGACTGTTTTGGAAATGTGTGTTTGAAGAACATAGAGAATGGACCAGTAACCTCTGTGATGTGGATATCTGACAAGTCCTTAGAGTTACAGAAAACAAGGTCAGGTTGCTTGCCACTCAAAAGCCAATCCTCAAGAGAAAAGAGTTGATACAAGGGAATAAAGTTTATTCAAAATGCTGGCAGTCCTGGGAGATGGAGGACATAACTGTCATCAAGACCACCTCAGGTTCTCAGGGTAGTAGGAGAGTTTTAGAAGGGAGCAGAAAGGGAAGGCAAAGTGGGAGGAGGCCAGGAGCAAGAACAGTGAATAGGAGCAGCTGTATGGTGGCCTCTGGCAAGGTGATAAGAGGCTGGATGAAGTCACAGCGTTTACTTTCAGCTTGCCATTGTAAATCCAACCCTCTGGTCATGATGATTGGGGCCACATTACTTTGCCATTTCAGCCATCTTCCTCAGGGTCAATTTCTAGAATTCTCCAGCAAGCCTGTTGAAACCTAAATCTGGTTAGTGACAAAGTTAGCAGTCAGCTTTTATTAAGAAATGGAGTTATTGGACTTACCCCTAATGGTAGAGCTAGAAGCATGCCAGGGGATTCCAATTCAATCCCACCAATGCCATCTTACTTGTTAAAGTGATCAGTTTAAGTTCATAATTGATAAAAAAATGGGATTAAGTATCAAAGGGATTACATAAATAAGACTAGTGTCTGCAAATAATGAATAGAATTAAAAAAGAGAGAATGATCCTACATGGGAAGCGGGATACACAGCAGACTCACAGAATGGCAGAAGCCCTGAACAGCACTCTGGCCTCAGAATCAGCCCTTAAAGCATTTGGATCTGGCTAAAAAGCCCATGAGAGTTTCTCAGGCATGGAAAGCCAAGACACTGTGGCAAAAAAAATGACCTAAATGAAAGATCTCTGTGAGTGAGATCCCAGCGGAAAGAACGGGCCATCAAAGAAGGCAGTACCTTTCTCTGAAGGGAGGAGAGAACTTCCACTTTGAATATGGCTTTGTCTAAATAAGATCAGAGTTGGTGAACTCAGGAGGCTTCCATGGCCTTGGCAGCTCATGATAAGAGCCTCGGGTGATAATGGACTTCATAAATAAGAGTGTCAATTGTTAAATCAACAGCGGGGGTCACTGTGCACCTGCCTCCCATGTAGGACCTCTGCCCTTAGTGTGTTGTACTATGCGAATTAATGGTGAAACTACTACTCAAACAGTGCTCTATATTTTGTGTGTCTTTGTGGGTGCAGTCTGTTGAAATCTTTACTTAATATATACTAAGTTGATCTTCTGTATATAAAGACAATTGAAAATGAATCATGATGAAGAATGGGATGGGAGAGGGAGTAGGAGATGGGATGGTTGCGGGTGGGAGGGAAGTTATGGGGAGAAAAGCTGCTATAATTCAAAAGTTGTACTTTGGAAATTTATATTTATTAAATAAAAGTTGAAAAAAAAGAAATGGAGTTATTTGAGCTATTGCAACACTATGTCTTCGTCAAATGGATGCTCTAGCCTTCTTAAAGTGAGACCATGACAAGCTGAAAAGAGATAGTATTTGTCCTTAAAGTGATAATAGTAGGCTCCTATTTTTCAGAGAGATAGAGAACCTTAAAGGGCTTCAAAGAGAACACCAAATAGGAGGGAAGCAGTGATGGGATCACTTCGAAGAAAATCTGCAGTTTTATCTGCCCATAAAAAGGAAGATGGTGTCTTATCCTCCTTCAACTCTGGAATTAGAATAATTTGGCTGAGAGACTTGGCTCTGCAAAATTAAGCAAATACCATTTTTAGCCTCTAAACTTGGCTTATGGTGATTTCTTTTGCTGCCACGAATTTTATACTCCCCAAGGAAGCAAAGGCACATATTTGCTGATTAGTTTTTAAATACACACGGCACGCATGCACACACACACATGTTGATGTTAACAAATTCACAAGGATGGAGTATCATTATGACAACCAGTTTATGTGGTCAACAGAGAGCTCCACCATACAGGGTTGTGTTCCCAGAGGTTGGTATTTGAGACAAGCAAACTATTTCTCAGTGGTTTAGGTGAACATCTTGTTCAGATACTCCTCATTTTGCCATGAGGCTATGTCCTGCTATAAGCTGACAATATCCTAAGAGGAAAATGCACTGATTTCTCCTACTTCACTGCACATCTTTGCTCAGCAGTACGGTGCACCGTAGGGTGTGGGTTGTTCCACTAGTGACCATGGGGCTCACTGGGAGCAGTGCTCATTACCAGGGCTCAGCATCGCCAGAGAGGATGACTGCACAGCATTAGCCCAAGACAAGATCAAATTCAAATCCAAAGTGCAATTTCCATTGAATAGTATCCCTCTTGTAAAGTGTAAAGTTGAAAATTTAAGTTGAACCATGATAATTTTGGGATTGCCTGTGTTTATTAGTACTTCATAAAGACCCATTGGAGATATACACCTCTGCATGCTTCAGTGTTCACTAATATTTGTCAGTCACAATATTATGTTCTTCTGTTATAGTACTTTGCCCCACAGACTGATCAGAGACCATTCACCATGTCTTCTTAGTACATAATAGCATTGTACCTGGCCTATAGAAGGTGCTTGATATATATTTGTTGAACGAATAAACAAACTCTAAAAGGGAAATGTAGGGTTAAATTGTTTATAGTTTTATCACTTTATGCAAATGAATAAAAATAAACTTAAGAAAATGTTTGCTATATCCTTAAATATGAAAATCTATATTATTTTTTTTTTTGGAATTGGATGAGGCTTGTACAACCTCAACATTTGTTACACAGTATTTGTCAGGTAACACATGGCTATAAAAGGATTTTAGAGAGCAGATGTTGTGATGCAGCAGGTTAAGCTGCTGTTTGTGTTGCACCTGGGAGGCAGTAGATGCTGGTTGATGTACCTGGGCATCTGCTGCACTTGTGGGAGACCCAGATGGAGTTCCTGGATCCTGGCTTCAGCCTGGCCCAGTCCTGGCTGCTGTGAGTATTTGGGGGGTGTGTCTCCCTCTTTCTCTGTTACTCTGCCCTTCAAAGAAAGAAAGTGAAGAAGGGAGGGAGGGAGGGAGGGAGGGAGGGAGGAAGGAAGGAAGGAAGGAAGGAAGGAAGGAAGGAAGGAAGGAAGGAAGGAAGGAAAGGAGGGAGAGAGGGAGGGAGGGAGGGAAGGAGGAAGGGGGGAGGGAGGAAGGAAGGGAGGGAGGAAGGAAGGGAGGAAGAGAGTGAGAGAGGAAGGAAAAAGAGAAAGAAATCTTAAAAAAAATTTTTTTTCATTAGCCTCCAGGGAAAACAGAAGAAACCAAGCTGCAGTATCATCCTGGCTAAGAAAATCATCCAGATGTTGCACCTATATGTTTGCTAATGCTGCCTTAACACAAACCATGAACTGAGTGGCTTACATGGCAGAAATTTGTTTTCTCACAACTCTGGAAGCTGGAAGTCCTAGATCAAACTGTCGCAGGGTTGGTGTCCCCTTGAGGTCTCTACTTGGCTTACAGATGGCTGTCTTCTCCCTGTGTCTTGACATGGCCTTGCCTCTGTGCGTGTGCAGTCTTGGTTTCTCTTTTTCTGTGTCCAAATTTCTTCTCCTTTGAAGGACACCAGTCAGATCGGATTAATGCCCACTCTAATGGCCTCATTAACTTAATCACCTCTTTATCTCCAAGTACAGTCACATTCTAAGGCAGGTCCTAGTGGTAAGGGCTTCAACATATGAATTTTGGGGGGACATAATTTAGGCTATTACATTGTCTGTGCCCTGGACTAGAAGCTGTGGTTGGCACTGTTCCCAGAAACTATGCTTTCTGGCAACTGAACCTTTTGCCAGCACCACTTTCTCACACCCCAACACAGAAACCCATTGTGATGGGTCCAGCCAAAGGAATGGCTGTGCTTAGTTTTGTTCCTGTTTGCCCCTATCCCAATCATCCTCACCTGATGAATCCATTGATAGAACCAAGTTCACACGAGTGAGAGTTCTGGTTCGTAGGCAGGGAAGATGACATTCAAAGTGTTGGGAGGTGCCCAAATATAGAAGGCTCTTCAGAATGTAATAAGCACTCTAGAGCCACAACACACGAACACATGCTGCCAAAATACAGTGCAAGACTGCAGAGGCTCTCTCACAACAGCCAAAAGGTGCAACAACTCCTTACATAAGGAAAAATACTGCACCATCTCACTTACATGAGATACTTAGAACAGTCAAATGCATAGAAACATAGAGTTACTATGAAAACGTCTGCAATGGTGGTTGCCAGGGGCTGCAGGTTGGGGAAAAAGGGAGTTATTTAATGGATAGAGTTTCACTTTGGGGGTGATTAAAAGTTTTGGCAATTGACTGGGCTTTTGGTATAGAGGTTAAGCCCTTATTTGTGAGGTTTGTATCCCATATCACAGCACTTGAGTTGAGTCCCAGCTCTGCTCCAGATCCCAACTGCCTGCTGATGCACACCCTAGGAGGTGGCAAGTGATGTTCAAGTACCTGAGTATCTGCTACCCAGATTGAATTCCTAATTTCTGGCTTTAACCATGGATGTCCTCTCTCTCTCTCTCTCTCTCTCTCTCTCTCTCTCTCTCTCCATCTCTCAAGTAAACAAAAAGAAAAAAAAAGATCTGGAAGTAGATGGTAGTGATGGTTGCATAACATTGTGAATGTAATTAATGCCACTGAATTGTATTCTTTAAATATGGTTAAAATGGCAAACATTATGTTATGTATATTTTACCACAATAAAAACAAGAGCAGAACACAAAAATAACCTCCTCCCCCTTCAAACAACCAAACCAAAGAACCAGAGGAGTCGAAGGGGAAAGGCTTGAAGGTGCAGGCCCAGCCAATGGGGGCCATGGCCCACAGCCCTGTGACCTGAAGCTGAGGAGGTGAAACGGTCTCGGTGTTTGCTCTGCCTTTCTGGCCCCTGAATGTCTTCCAGTTATTCAGCTACCTCTGCTGTCCATTCTGGCATCCAGAGAGGGTAGGGATCAGGATTGCATTTAGCTTCAAGTTGCACAAAACCTGGAATTCAAAAAGTACTCGAAGATACCACAAAACCCACAAATGTCCTGAACAGGTGTACAGTTTGTGTTAGGTCTATTTTCAGAGAGGCAGAGCCCAAGTCAGCGGTTTTGGAGTTAAGTGGCCAATTGTGGGAGAGCTTCTAGAAATCTGCAAGGGACTGAGGAGAGTGGGAAGAGTCTGGGCAAGAACAGAGGTAGGGGGGCTGGCACTGTGGTGTAGTGAGTAAAGCCGCTGCCTGCAGTGCCAGCATCCCTTATGGATGCCGGTTGGAGACCTAGCTGCTCCACTTCTGATCCAGCTCTTTGCTATGGCCTGGGAAAGCAGTAGAAGATGGCACAAGTCCTTGGGCCCCTGCACCTGCATGGGAGACCCAGAAGAAACTCCTGGCTCCTGGCTTCGGATCTGCGCAGCTCCAGCAGTTGCGGCCAACTGGGGAGTGAACCAGTGGATGGAAGACCTCTCTCTCTCTCTCTCTCTCTCTCTCTCTCTGCCTCTCCTCTCTCTGTGTAACTCTGACTTTCAAATAAATAAATAAATAAATCTTTAAAAAGAGGAACAGAGGTCAGCCTGGCCCATGGGGTTCCAGGGTATGAACAGTGCCACAGAGGGACTCTGTCAATTCCTGCATGTGACAGTCTTTAGCTTTCAGCATCTCCAGAGCTGAGGACACCCAAGGCCTCTGTGAGCAGCTGGCAGGCAACACTCTCAGTGGCTGGGGACCAGACAGCCTGGACTGACAGAGCGGACCTGTGTGCCATGTCCACTGCCCACCACACAGCATGCTGATCTCATGCACTAAGCTCATGTCCAGAGCTAGGAAAGAGAATTCAGTCTTTCTCTATGGTTTAGGCTTCTCCACTCTTAGCACATGGATCCTCATCTGAGGGTGAAACCAGGATACTCCCAAGGTCCCAAGTTTACATTCCTGGGAGAATGAAGGTGAAAAGGATGAGGGGGCTGGAAAGCAAAGTGCCAGGGAAGGCAGCAAGAACGGTCACTGTTCAATAATAGTGCATGTGTTGCTGTTACTGGAGGGTGGATCATGAATGTTCTCATTTCGGGAGACGTCAAGTGCTTCAGGAGATGGATGGGTTGGTTGGCCTGCTTTGGACATTCCCCATTGTATTTAAATCATAACATCAGTTTGTATGACCTATGTTTGTACAGCTACACACAGGCTCCTGGACTCACGATGGTGCCCACCCCCCAGAATCCATGGTAAGTTAAAAATACTGTTAAGTCAAAAATGTCTGACTCCACCTAGCCCACCGCACAGCCCAGCCCAGCAGCTCTGCCCGCCACAGAGCACGGGTTCTTCCTCTGGTGGCTGGAGGGCCGTCAGGGAGCTGCACTCACGCCCATTGCCTGGCATTGCCAGAGAGGACTGGACAGCACAGTGCTAGCCAAGGAGAAGCACCAAATCCAAAATCTGAAGTCCAGTTTCTATTGCATGCCCACGACTTTTACATCATTGTAAACTTAAACAAAATCATATATATCACACTGTTAGCAGCTGGGAAAGCCTGCAATTTGCTAATTATAAATAAATAAGTAAATAAAACTTTTAAAGCTGTGGCACTTTCCTCTTGGATATCCCAGGCCAGAATCGGGTGATTCAATCACTACATTGTGGGGAGGGGTGTGTGTGTGTGTGTGTGTGTGTGTGTGTGATAAATTCTGTTTGATGAGTTTTCTTCAAGGGAAACAATTCAATGGAATATATTTTTATTATTCTACCTTATGTAAGCCTGATAATGGGGACCAGATTAAAGTTGATTTCTTGCAAAATAATGAGAGAGGAGGCCTTCAGAGTTTGGGAGAAATGAGCCTTGCTGAGATTCATTAACCACATAAGCAAGGGACTTCATGCAGGAGATTAAGTGACAGAGTGGTGGCTTCCCTCACAAGGTATTTCATTTTTCAAATACATTTTAAAACATTTTAAATTACGGTAAAATATGCATAACAGAAAATTGACCACAGTAATCGTTGTAAAATGCTGTGTACATTCACATGTTGTGCAATCATCTCCACCACTGTCCATCCCAAAGTTCTTTTCCTCTTGCAAAACTGAAACTCTGGGCCAATTAAACACTGATTCTTCCTCCCCCATACCAGAGCTCCCAGCACAACCACCGTATTACCTTCTCTCTCTATAGCTTTCACAGTTCCAGGCGCCTCAGCCAGTGGTTGTGACAGCCATCTTCCACTTACTGTAAGGTTGTCAGGGTTCATGTACAGACTGGGATGTGTTAGAACGTCCTTTCTTTCAAAGGTTCCATTGTGTGCAGAAACCACACTCTGTTCATTGACTCCTGTTGATGGATATACCTGGGTTGCAGAAAACATTTCGGTCTGAACAAGCTCTTGTTTTAGGAGCGACCTGACTTCTCACACCTCCCCTTCCCTGTCTTGGCTTGATGGGGGCTCAGGAGTTGAGTGGGCAAGGCATGGCATGCTTGAGGGATACTCTGCCTGGGGACGATGAGGCTGCTCAGTGATGTTCAGAAGTTGGGCAGCATCAGCCCCGTTGGGAGCTGGTGGACACTACACTCTCCAGCCCTCTTCTCTGGAGGAGGGTCAGGAGGTTGTGAGCTCTGTCCTCTCCTGGTGATTCCTATGCCCTTAAGGCTGTGCCACAGGAAGAGGGAGGCAAGCAGAGAGGGAGCCGGACAAGTGACAGCTGGAGGCTACTTCCTCTCAGAGTGCCTTGGGCAGAGGGACAGTGGAGAGCAACCTCCAGGTTTGCCCAGGATCGTGGGCTCCTGGAGCCATTCTCAGTATGGAGGGATGGTTGGTTGCCTTAGCTGTTGGGATTTTTATAGCATGTGGGCTTATGAGTCTGTATTCTTATGAACATGGGTATGTGTGTGAGTCTGTGTATTGTGAGTGTTTTGTGTGTTCTTAGGAGTGTGTGTTTGTGTGGACAGGTATATGTATTTTTGTAGGACTATTGAGTGAGTGTGTATGTTTTTTAGCCTGTGTGTTTTTGTGTGTTTGTGTATGCTTGTGAATATATGTGTTTACTGATGTGTATTTTGGAGTATGGCTGTGTGCTTATGAGTGTGTTTGTGAGTGACTGTGTTGCTGTATGACTGTGAATGTGAATGTGTGTGTTGGGAGTCTGTGCCCTCACGGCCAGCAACCTTTGCACCAAGATTATTGCCTTCTGCCCTGGTGCCAGTTGCGGCTGCACAGCACAAAGGGGGCAGGATTTCTCTGCCTGGAGTCTTCCTCATGGGATGGGCTTCCTAGCCAGGCTCAGGTACAGCCGGTTCAGCGTGTCCTGGGAGACAAACCTCTCCTAAAGGTGTTCCATGCACAGGTGTTGCTCCTGAACACACACCCCCTTCCCCATGATCTCTTTGAGGGCAGGGCTGCACCCAATGAGTTTCGTGTTCCTGATCACTGTCATAGTACCTCAGTAAGGAAGTTCTTTCCTTTAAAATTTCGCAGATTTGCCAGCAGAGGGCTCCTGGAAAAACTCAAAGGCTTTGTCTCTCACCTTGTGAAGGAGAGAAGTGAAATTTCTTAGGTTTATTTCACATGTTAAATGGCATGGAAGGCACTGTCAAATAAAAAGTGATGCTAAACCTCCCCTCTCTTCTATTTGTATAGGTACATTTTATTAATATAAGTGTTTCTGAAATTGTGTGAAGTTCATAGAAATGTGTGGATACCCTCACTGTTCATAGTAAGTCTGGCATAATGTAAACAGTTATAATTCCAGTTATTGTGTTAAGCAGTCATATGTCACAGAAATAACTAAGTTTCCTTATCAAGTGAACTCTCATCATATCTTTAACTCTAGGCATTTAAAATCTTTTGTCATTCACAGGCAGTTTTTTTCCTGGATGCTTTCCTAAAAGCCTTTTGCTATAATCCCAGAGTGCTTTATCTTTAAAGAAATTCATGGAAAAGACTCTGAAAAACAGAGTTTTCTGCAAACTTTAAGTTCATACTATTAGCGGCAAGCATTTGGTCTAGCAGATAATCTGTCAGTTACGACACCACATCCTGTGCTGGAGTACTTGGGTTTGATTCCTAGTTCCAGTTCCTGACTCCAGCTTCCCACCAGTGTAGACCCTGGGAGGCAGCAGATGGTAATTCAAGTAACTGGTTTCCTGTCACCCCCCAGGGAGACCTGGCTTGGGTTCCTGGCTCTTTGCTTCAGCCCTGGCCCAGCCCCAGCCATTGCAGGAGCCGAAACTATCAGATGGCATCTATTTGTCTGTCTCTCTGCTTCTCATATAAATACATTTGAAAAATAAATAAAAAAAAAAAATAGGGCTGGTGTTGTGGTGCAGCTGGCTAGATGGCCACCTGTGATGCTAGCATCCTCTATGAGCACTGGTTCAAGCTCTGTCTGCTCCACTCCCTGCTAATACAGCAAGGATGGCCCAAGTGCTATGGCCCCTGCCACCTACATGGGAGACCAGGATGGAGTTCTAGCTTCTTGCTTCAGCCCACCCAGCACCAACTGTTGCAAGTATTTGGGGAGTGAACCAGCAGATGGAAGAGCTCTCTCTCGCTCTCTCGCTCTCCTTCTCTCCCTCTTTCCCTCTCTCCCTCTCCTTTTGGGTAAGTCTGCCTTTCAAATAAATAAATAAATATTTATATAAAAAAGAACAAGCAAGTCTGTTAAAAAAATAAAATGTACAAATGATCATACCATTGGACCAGGTAAGAATTTCCAGAACTCTAATGAAGAAACTGATGGGTTCATGAGACCCAACTCAGGATCAAGCAGAATGAGAGTTAATCATATGATGTTACGGACTGAACAAGACTTGGCTCCAAGCCCAGGCAGATGTTTGAAATCTGAGGTTCTATGTCAAGGGTTGATGGTTAAGGGTTGAGGCTTGATCTGAGGATGGCCCCTGAGGGTGGGCTGGTGAGCAGTCTTTAGGTGACTGAGGATGTGCTCTCAGACGGTGGTTCTTGCAAGAAGTTTGGTTATGTGTGAAGTGTATTCAGCCTAGTTCTCTGCTTCCTGGTTTACTGTGAGATTATTCCTCTGCACCTGCTCTGCCATGCCAGCCTCCACGAGATGCCAGACTAATGAGGCTGCCTATTCCTGAATTGTGAACCTCCGGACTGTAAACCAAAGTAAACCTTTCCCTTTCCAACAAGCTCTTCTCTGGTATTTTATTTAAAGTAATGGAAAGCTTACTGATCAACATGGGAGTGAACCAACTGACAAAGGGTGAACATGGCTTTTTGGAAACATTGCTTGTCCTTTAGTATTTTATTTTCCAGATTTAAGAAACTCCTTTCCCTTTTCTCTTAAACCATTTATAGTTTATAACTATTTGGTGAAATATGCCTTTATAAACAAAAATGATTATTTTTTTTCCTATTTTGCCTGGTCCCACCAGCATTTGAAAATTATTTTTAGAATCTCTATTTTCTTGGCAAAATAGTTATTTACATAAATTTGATAAGGCTTATTTTTTTAAAAAATATTTATTTATTTATTTAAAAGACAGAGTTTCCAAGAAAGAAAGGAGAGACACACACGGAGAGAGAGAGAGAGAGAGAGATCTTCCATCTGCTAGTTCACTTTCCAAATGGCCACAACAGGCAGGGCTGGACCAGACAAAAGCCAGGAGCCAATAGCTTCTTCTGGGTCTCCCATGTGAGTGGCAGGGCCCAAGCACTTGAGCCATCCTCTGCTGTTTTCCCAGAACATTAGAAGCAGTTGTATTGGAAGTGGAGCAGCAGGGACTTGAACTGCCATCCATACGGGATGCAGACCCTGCAGGCTGCAGCTTTAACTTGCTGGGACACAGCTCCAGACCCAAAAACTTCTTCTTATAACCAGTGGAAACTTTGATTATTGTACCAAGGCTTTGACTACAAGATCATATTTGGGAATGATGTGCATAGAGTCACATATGACCACACAGGTTTAAGGAACTAAGGTTGGGATGGAAGTTGTGGCACAGTGGATTAAGCTGCCCCTTGAGACATCTACATCCCATATTGGAGAATCAGATTGAGTCCCAGCTGCTCTACTTCGCATCTAGCTTCCTGCTAATACATCCTAGGAGGCGGACGATGATGGCCCAAATACTTGATACACTGCCACCCATGTGGGAGACCAGGATGGAGTGCCTCCTCCTGTTGTTCTGCTTTTCAAGTAGATGCAAAGTAAATAAGTAAATAAATAAATACTTAAGGCTGGCGCTGCGGCTCACTAGGCTAATCCTCCACCTTGCGGCGCCGGCACACCGGGTTCTAGTCCCGGTCGGGGCGCCGGATTCTGTCCCGGTTGCCCCTCTTCCAGGCCAGCTCTCTGCTGTGGCCAGGGAGTGCAGTGGAGGATGGCCCGAGTACTTGGGCCCTGCACCCCATGGGAGACCAGGATAAGTACCTGGCTTTTGCTATCAGATCAGCGCGGTACGCCAGCTGCAGTGCACCGGCCGCGGCGGCCATTGGAGGGTGAACTAATGGCAAAAGGAAGACCTTTCTCTCTGTCTCTCTCTCTCACTGTCCACTCTGCCTGTCAAAAAATTAAATAAATAAATAAATACATACATACTTAAATAGATAAATAAAGATGGACTTGATGGAGCCAATGCCTACAAAGTTCTCCTGAGGGAAAATTAGCCTGGGACCTGGCTTACTGTCCCCTATCATACAAATGAGAAAGGAAAGTCATTTCCTGGCTGGTCCAGAGAAACTTAAAACTTCTTAGGGACCTTTGGAAGAGAGGAATTCACCCAAATCTATGGGTATTGCCAATGAAGTTTGGTGATGAGTTCTTGTTTTGCTTGCCTAACTTCAAGAGGCTTTGAAAAGTCTCACATAGACTATTTCCTGTTGGTATAATAAAATACCAAAGAAATGTTCACAAAGAAGAGAGGTTTATTTGGCTTAGGGTTAAGGAGGCTGGGAAGCCCAAGAGTGTGGAGCTGGCATCTGGTGAGGCCTTTTGGCTATAACATCATGCAACAGAGGGCTTCACATGGTGTGCAGGGCAAGTGTGTGAGCATAGAGCTCTCCTCTTACAAAGTCACTAATGCCATCATGGGGCACCATCATGACTCCATCCAATCCCAATTACCTTCCAAAGACCCCACCTCCAAATACTTCGGGTTAAGTTACCAATATGTGAACTGTGGGGGGACACACTCCAGTCATTGCTAGCTTCCACAAAGCAAGCTAAGCCAGTCTTTGACTAACCACAAACCTTGTTCTTATATAAAAAGTCAGGCCAAGGTTAATGAGACTAGAATTATCGTGCAAACAAATTAGTCTTACTCTGATAGTAGTCAGGCTCCTCCATTTTTTTGTAAGCACCTCCTTGTACAACCTAGTTCTAAGAAGAACCTTAAAAAGTCAGTTTGGTCAGAATCTCACACCATCAGTATCCAATCATTCTCTATTTCTTTCTTTCTTTTTTTTTAATTATTTGACAGGTAGAGTTATAGACAGTGAGAGAGAGAGACATGGAGAAAGGTCTTTCTTCTGTTGGTTCACTCCCCATATGGCCAGTATGGCTGGCGCTGTTGCAATCCAAAGCCAGGAGCCAGGAGCTTCTTCCGGGTCTCCCATGCCGGTGCAGGGGCCCAAGCACTTGGGCCATCCTCCACTGCCTTCCCGGGCCACAGCAGAGAGCTGGACTGGAAGAGGAGCAACTGGGTCTAGAACCCGGCACCCATATGGGATGCTGGCGCCGCAGGCGGAGGATTAACCAAGTGAGCCACAGCGCCGGCCCCCATTCTCTATTTCTAATTGGGCTTCTGAACCCTCCCAGTTCTCCAAGTGATGTCTGACTCCCTTGACCTGTCTTCAGCAAGAATCCTGTTAGGTCAGGTTAGCTAGCATCTCTCTTAATCCTGATTCTTCTTAGTAATTTTCCCTCCACCCAGCTCCGGCCTGCTCTGGGCTGTAAACCCCCACTTGCCTTTGTATTTGAAGATAAGCTCAATTTTCTCCCAGCACAAAATCTCATTGCAGTGATATGTACATGAAGATGTACATAAGATGGTCCTGAATAAACTCTGTCTACTGTGCTTCAAAGTGTCATTGAACAGGCTTTATTTAACAATTAGTGGCTTACAATAAAAAAAAGTACTTCTCTCAGGGTTAATTAAATAAATTGAATTCAATATTCTTTGAAATTTAGTTAAAAGCTTAAGGAAATAGCATTTTGATAAAAATTGATTCAATTTGTTAATGAGAAAATGATTTTTATAAGCTAATTTATTTCATCAATATTGAATTATAATCTCATACAATTAAAGTGTGAATGAGTAGGTTAGGAGTTTCCATTCCTCTTCCAGAGATGATTTAAAATTTGTGAATGCTTGTGTTTTAGAGATAAAGAAGAAGTTTCATTTTAAAACAAATTCTACTAGAGTTACAATAAATTTTCTGCTCAATCATTACATGTGAATATTTACAATTTGCTTCTGTTAATTTTTTCAACTTCATTTTTAGACAGCCAATGGTTGATCTTTATTTCAAGTTTTGGTTTTTCATTCTCAGTGATGCAAATTGATATGTAGATCAATCTTCTGCAATGCTGACTACATTTCTACTAATTAGCCAGGTCATTGGTCAAATAAATTAAAAAAAAAAGCTCAAAATATTTTCACCTTAGCCATTGTATGAATTTTTAACTCTTCACCACCTACTTGTAACATTGTATAAATGACTGAAATGTCAAGTTCATGTAAATAATGAGAAGAAGAGATGTAGAGAGGTTTTTTTTAAATGTCCTTAGCAACACATTGTTTTAGGAACAGAAACTCTTTTCCTCTGTAAGAGGAAAATAAAACAAAATATAAGCAAAAAATAAATAATTTAAATAAATATCAGAAATCTGACAAGTGTGTGGTGATTGGATAAGATGCTTCTCTCAGACTGGTGGTAGTGAATTTGGGTCCAATGAAGAATCTGCATTTTGACATGTATGCTAGTTCTCTTTTCAGTTTAAAAGTGCAAACCCTTTCTACAACAATAATCATTTTTAGGAGGACAGCTTGCAGCCCTGGGTGGTGAAGCAGCATAATGCTGCTCCCACTTTGCACCTCTGCTGCTCTGTGCTTGGTTACAGAACACACATGAGAAGCAGCATTGGAAACTTCCACAGCAATTCAAATCTAAAAATTTTTCATGTTTCATGTACTTTTTTGTTTTCTTCATTTTACTTTTTTCAGTAATATCATTGGCTTTTGCAAAAGTAGATTTAGCACGTGACAAGTTGTAGGCAAAATAAAACCCCAAACAAAACAAACTTGTCTACTGCTCCCTTACAAGTGTTTTTTTCATACACATCCCACAATCTCCCGCAAGATGGCGCCTTGCTGTCAGATTTGCTCTGACAGTGGGAAGCATTCTGGATGCCAGCAGTCTCCCAGTTGCCTTGATACTTAACACTGTTCCAGTTGCAGGTTTGGAATGGAACATGTTTTTTAACAACTTGTACCAATAGATTGCTGCTCCGTGTAATTATTTATCTTCAGAAAGAGCACAAAAGGATCAATTCCATTGAAGACGGGTAAGATTTTTGAGGGAACTATCTCAGCCCCCCAGGTGTTCACACCATGAGCATTATATATTGTGAGGACTATATTCATTTCACTTCATATGCTGTTATTACTTGACTATTTTCTATATAAGTAAAGAAGATGAAAGAAGTTACTCTTCATATTTATCCAAGTCAGAAGGCTGTAATTTTTTATTCATTTCAAAGAAACATTCCAAGGCTTTTTTGTAAATTAAATTGCACAGTTAAACATTATAAACTTTTTGGATGAACTTTTGGATCTTTTTTATGTTCCTGTTTCTTTTCTAATTTTAGAGAGAACTTCTTTGATCTTTACAATGTTGCTGTTGCTTCATGGAACAGCTCAGTCACCTTTAAAATGAGCAGATTGTCCTGTTCCATTTAAACTCATTAAAGAAGAATCACACAAATAAACAAATGTGCAGCCAGCGCTGTAGCACATGGGGTAAAGCGAAGCCTGAGAAGCCGGCACCCCATATAGGTGCCGATTTGAGTCCCCGCTGCTCTATTCCTGATGCAGCTCCTTGGGAAAGCAGCATACTTGAGCCCTGGTCCTGGCTTCAGACTGGTCCAGCTCCCGTCACTGTAGCATTTTGGTGAGTGAAACAGTGGATGGAAGTTCTCTTTCTCTCTGTCTCGCTTTCTCTCTGCCTTTTGAATAAAATTTATATCTTTAAAAACAGAAAAGAAAAATCTTGCACATACAGAATACTCTAACCTTGGAAGAAAACAGACCAAACTTCCATTCTCCATGCTCAAGTGCAGTGGAAGTAATTTCTCTCTGATGAGATTATAAGACTGAGTCACATACATAGATCTCAAGGGATTCCTTGCCCTCATGGTACCACCGACGTGGGGAGTGGAGATGCTGCTCCCCAGAGTGGCTTCTCAAGCAGGGCCGCTGCCTTCTGCTAACACGAGGAAGTGACTGCCACTCCCTAAATACATCCCACATGACCCCGGATACAAACCCCCCCCCCCCTTCACTTAGCTGGGTTCCAGGCAAGTGATCACAGCAATCATAGTTAAGTTTCTCCCTCCCTCCCATCCTTCCCTTCCTTCCTTTCTAAAATTTATTTATTTATTTGAAAGTCAGAGTTACAGAGAGGCAGAGGCAGAGAGAGAGAGAAAGGTCTTCCATCCACTGGTTCACTCCCTAAGTGGCCGCAACAGCCAGAGCTGAGCTGATCCGAAGCCGGGAGCCAGGAGCTTCTTCCGGGTCTCCCATGTCAGTGCAGGGGCCCAAGGACTTGGGCCATCTTCTACTGCTTTCCCAGGCCACAGCAGAGAGCTGGATTGGAAGAGGAGCAGCATCCGTATGGGATGCTGGTTCTGCAGACTGGGACTTTAACCCACTGCACCAACAGCGCTGGTCCCAGCAATCGTAGTTAGCATACCTTATTCTTCCTTCATTTGAAAGCATGTCCCCATGAAAACATTGCTAGAACCCTTCTCAGGGCTCAGGAAAGGCAAGGTCCAAAGCTTAGATTTCCTTAGTTTAACTGCACAGCTCTCTTTGTGGAGCCAACGGTTAGTAGTTACAGCTGTCCTCCCTTACCCATGGTTGTGCTTCACAGGTTTTCTGCTTATCTTTGCTTTTGGATAATTTGATTCTAACATTAAACTTTTGTAATTGACCTCTTGGAATTTATGCTGCTTTCAATCCATTGCACTTCTTGATGGTTTTTATTAAATCTGGGGAGGTTTTGAGCATTATTTTTTGAATATTTTTCTGTCCCTTTCTTTCTGGTCTTTTTCTGAGACTCCCATTAGACATAAGGATATTTCAAAAAGTAAGTGGACACCAAGAGGGAAACCTGTTGGAGTGAGGTGGACACTATGGGAAATGGTGGCTTGATCAGCATAGCCCTGACTGTTAATGAACAACTAAATACATTATCCCTCTTAGTAGTTTTTTTTATCTGTTCTACTTAATATGACTGGTTTAGATCTGTAATTGATGCACAGTTATTCTTAAGTGTTGAAAATTAACTGAAATGTGATCCCTGTTGAACATGGTGGTGGGAATGGGAGAGGGAAGAGATGTATAATTTGGGACATGCTCAGGCTGACTTGCCCCAAGTGGTGGAGTTGGAAGCATACCAGGGGATTCCAATTCAATCCCATCGAGGTGGCATGTACCAATGCCATCTCACTGTTCCAGGTGATCAGTTTCAGTTCACAGTTGGTCATGGTGAAGGGACTGGGAGTCAAAGGGAGCACATAGACAAGTCTAGTACCTGCTAATGCTAACTGATGGAGTAAATAAAGGGGAGAGTGATCCAACATGGGAAGTGAGATACTCAGCAGACTCATAGAATGGCAGATGTCCTAAATAGCACTCTGGCCCCAGAATCAGCCCTAAAGGCATTCGGAGCTGGCTGAAAAGCTCATGAGAGTATTTCAGGCATGGAAAGCCAAGACACTCTGGCAAAAGATCTCTGCGAGTGAGATCCCAGTGGAAAGAACAGGCCATCAAAGAAGGAGGTACCTTTCTCTGAAGGGAGGAGAGAACCTCCACTTTGACTATGAGCTTGTCTAAACAAGATAAGAATCGGAGAACTCAGAGGGCTTCCATAGCCTTGGAAACTCATGACTGGAGCATAGGGAGATTACTGATGCCATAGACAGGAGTGTCAATTGGTAAAGTCAACAACAGGAGTCACTGTGCACTTACTCCTCATGTAGGATCTCTATCCTTAATGTGCTGTACATTGAGATTTAATGCTGTAACGAGTACTCAAACAATATATTTCACTTTGTGTTTCTATGGGGGTGCAAACTGTTGAAATCCTTACTTAATGCATACTAAACTGATCCTCTGTATAAAAAAAAAAAAAAAAATTATCAATTCCCAACTTGACTCTCACTGATTTCATCATCATTTTAAAAAATCATCTATTATTTTCACTTTATGTTTCTGTGTGGGAGCAAACTGTTGAAATCCATACTTAATGTATACTAAGCTGATCTTCTGTATATTAAGATAATCGAAAATGAATCTTGATGTGAATGGAAGGGGAGAGGGAGTGGGAAAGGGGAGGGTTGTGGGTGGGAGGGACGGTATGGGGGGAAAGCCATTGTAATCCATAAGTCGTACTTTGGAAATTTATATGCATTAAATAAAATTAAAAAAAATAAAAATAAAAAAAAAATAAAATAAATCTTAAAAAAAAAAAAGATAAAAAAAAAAAGAAAAAAAAAAGTAAGTGGAAATTGGGATTAAAAGATAAGTTTACTTTGCTGCCAAAATGATTGAAATCTGTACATATGAGTGATTCCTCAGAAAGCTCATAACAATTATGAAAAAACTACCTAAATCTTAACATTTTGGATACTAATATAAACTTTTAATTTCATTTTCCAAGACCATTTTGAAGTGTCCTCTTACATGTTGGCATACTTTTTAGAATCTGGTAAGTCTCCTAAACTCTGATTAAAAAAAAATTCTTTGCTTTTTGCTCTTCAAACTAGATCATTTCATTTGACTTATCTTCGAGCTAATAGAGTCTTTCCTCTGTCTGCTCAAATCTGTTATTGAACTCTTCTGGTGAATTTTTTCATTTTAGTTACTATACTTTTCAGCTCAAAAAATTCGATTTGCTTCTTTATATAATACGTATTTTTTATAATTTGTATTTCTTTATTGCTACTCTATTTCTCTCCTGATTTCCTTTGATCAGAGAATAATTTTGAGATGTCCTTAATTTATTTAAGGCTGAAGATGGAGATGAGGCACAGGTAAGAGAAGGTATTCGACTAAAAACTTCAGACCAAACCAACAGCAACAATAAAACAACTCCATGCTGAAACCTTTGACCCAGAATCTCAGTCAATCATCAAGGCACCCCTGCATTCTACTTACAATGCCAGCCAATTAAGAAGCTGTAACTACTTTTCCTTAGCAGCCCTTCATTTCCCAAACTTTGCTGATTCATATGACCCATCTCTCCAACCACAGCCAGTGTAGTTTCCTTCTCTCTTAGCTCTGGACCAGGGGATATTTTCCAACTGCAGTGTAGCCCTGCTGCTGATAGTTGCAGGAACTCGTGCCAGGATCTAGTCCTTTCTTTTCCTGATTAGCATCTGTAATGGCTCAATAAACTCTTATTTTAGAGATCCCTTATGTCAAGAATTTTAGTTTCACATCATTAATTCTGTGTTCACAGTTTCTTTTAGCCCTTTGATTATATTTAAGACAATTGTCTTTGTCTAGTAAGTATAGGAGTGTGTTTCTTAGTGATGGCTTCTGTTAATTATCTTTTTCCCCTGTGAATGGGGGCTTACTTCCTTGCTTCTTTGTGTGTTTCATAAGTTTTTGTAAAAACTGGACATTTTGAATATAATGATGTGAAGAAAAGAAAAAGTAAAGAAAAATAAAAGATGGAAGAAAAGGAAATACACTCTCCAGGTCTTTGAAGATAAGCTTGGTGCCGGAGCACTTTTAATGGCTTAGCCAGATCACTTACAATTTTGCCTTAGTTTGACTTGCTCTGCACTGAGTGTAGCCACCACCTGGAGATCAAAACTTAGGCTCTTTTCAGGTTTTTTTCTCATTCTATATCCCAGCCCAAGCACGTGCTTTTTGAGTTTCCCTTGTATGTGATTGCTTTTCAAAACTTCTATTCCTGCCTCAAATTTCATTCTCTGATTTTCTGTCCTGGATTTTGTCATTTATTTCTCTTAAACTGTCATTTTAAAGTTCGTGTAACTTTTATTTTTTGAAAGGCAGTGTGTTGGAGAGAGATATGGGACGAGGTGGGGAAGGGGAGGAGAGAGAGGCATCTTCCATGCACTGGTTCACTCCCTAAATGCCTGCAGCAGCCAGGGCAGGGCCAGACTCAAGATAGGAGCAAGAGACTTCCTTTGGGTCTTGCATGTATGTGGTAGTAACCCAGGTACTTGAACTATCACTGGATGTCTGCCAGGGTGTACATAAACAGGAAGCTGAATAGAAAACAAAGGAGCAGAGTTGCATGAACTTGAACCCAGCCACCTTGATAGGGGATGTGGAAGCTGCTGTGCCACAATACTTGTTCCAGATTTTGTCATTTGTGTTGTTTGCTTCAAGTGTTGTTTTTTGGCCCAGGTGGCAGCAGCTTATTCATTTGGCTTTCATTGTTTTGATGACCCCACATTGGGCAAATCACAGGAAGTCTTTGCAACATTCCTATGGGGAGATTAGTGTCAGGTTAGAGCAGACAAACCCAACACCTTGGAAATGACATCTGCTCTGCTCTCTCCAGAGCCATGTACCCACACCGGGAACATGGGCTGCTGGGAACATGGGCTGCTGTCTTCAAGACCACTTCTAAACTGGAGAAGTGGAGGCTGGGGTGATGCCACAGAGATCTCCTACCTTTTTCAGCCCCTCTCTCCTGGCTCAGAGGTCGCCTGGTTGCTGTAAGCTTTTGACAAGCTTCCAAAGCTCTGATAAGATTGATTCTGACAGTTTTTGCCAAGGTTTCAGTGTTTTGGGGGAGAGATGTCTCTTTTCTGCCATATAGCTGACATCACTCTATATGTATTTTTACTTGTAATTTTAAAACCCATTCTCTGACCTATAATCAGTTGTAGCAATCAATCAAGCAAGCATAAACCCAGATTTACATTTTACATGGAAAAGTTCACTGATAAAAACCTGAAGGAGTTCTCTACCTGGATGAACATCATTGCCAGTTCAGTGAGGGGGCACTAATATGCACTTCCATCATCTACTGCTAAGCAAATCAACCTTTATTATTGACCCACTTAATTGCCGTTTCTTTGAAGTCTGATTTGCTTAATCCTCATATTGTTCCCACTGCAATAGACTCACTCACAAGGAGTCCATAGAGAGAGAGAGAAACTGCACAGGAGGGGTATGGGCAGCCATGGTCTTTTTGACACAGTGGTGGAAGACAGTAGGTATTTGTAATAACGTGCAGAGCAAGGACCTGTGTAGCTGTGGCTTAATTCCCAGGCTTCCTAAAGGGTTAGAGTAAAGGTTCTTAGCTCATGTCCAAGTCCCTGGTTGGTCTATACTGCTCTTGGTTCTCGTTTAATTGGAGATTGGAGATATTGTGCTTTTGAGAATTTTGATGATGGCACATGGATTTCAGTCAGTCTGGGGCTATGTGCAGGTGGAAGTTAGTTTCTTCTCAGGGCCTGGAATTCCTGGACAAGAAACCCCTCAAGACAAAACCAGACATCAAAATTTTTTTCTACAGGGGAGATAAAAGACCTCAGGAGTCCTGTGTTAAGGGATGGTCCAGGGATGGCTACTGTACTCCCTCGATTTGGTGAGTTAATTTTAGTAGGAGGAGGGCAAGGGCACTTTAAGCTAAGGGAGGGAGGCTCAGAAAATGGGATTTGATAGTACTAGCCTCGCATTGAAGACATTATAGAAGGGCCTGGCTTCAATTCAGATGTTTTATATTTAACCTTATAAAGTACTGGTCCTTTAAGGCACATTCAAGCCATCAGGTTTGCTGTAAGAAAGATGAATTTTCAGGATATGAGAGTTGTTAAAGCAGAATATTTTCCTACAGAAATTTCCAAGTGAAGCTGAATTACTTATTTTAGTGCAATACTATGATGCAATGGTAACACGCAGAGCCTTCTGAGCAAGAAGTCGGAGTGTGGACTGTCACTGGCAAGGTCTGCATAGCATGCCCCTCTCAGGCTCAGGTGATTTGGAGGTTTTCTGTTAACCCTTAAGCTCTTTGGGGACAAGCCACAGATCTTTGGAATTTTTTTCCCCATCCAAATGTCTATGCCAGGGGTCCACACTTAGTAGCTATCAGTAAATTTTCCATATGCATAAATGCACTTGAACATCCTTATTTGTAAAGGATGAAATTCAGATTTAATGGTCTATTCAGGTTCTAATATTCTTACCCAGAGCACTTTAGGTCTATTATTTTAATTCTTTTATTACATGTTCAATAAGCTTATCAGAGATTCTTGTCTTGTGTTTAAGAGACAATATTAAATGTCATGGTCAGGCAGAAGGAGTCAAGAGCACTTTCCTGGGAGTCAGACCTGACTTTGAGTCCTGACTCCAACTTTATTGCTGTGTGACTTTGGGTAAAGGTTGAGATGACACTGATCTTACAGTATGGCCATGTACAGTAAATAATAACAACAGTGATAATAAAAACATAGGTGATGGGTTCTCAGTTCTTACTGTAGGACAAGAAATAACCACACACTTGGTGGGATAAGGCCTTTGATCTTCAGTTTTCCACTGGGCACGATCATTGTCCTATGACCCTTTTTTACAGATGGGGTCACTGAGGCACTGCTAGTTTAAGCATGTTCAAAGTTGTGCAGCTGCTGAGTGGTGAATGGAAGATTCAAATCCAGGCAGACTAAATGAGATGATGTGCACAGTAAGTGTTTAATAGATGATACATAGTAGCAGAGGCAGCCAAAAGGGCCTGCATGGAATACCAAGTTGCCAGTGAGCAGGGCTCAGCAGGCACTTTCTCTTCATGTTCTTGAAGATTAGAAGGGCAGAGAAACATCTGGAACCAAGGATGTAATGAGGGAGCGAAGTGCATTTCAGGCATAGGAGAGGGCAATTTGGCCAAGTGAGGGAGATTGGAGGAGCTGCCACAGGATCTGGCTCTTCAACGGAAGCTTGAAGGATTTTGACAGGTGGGCAGGAGGGCCGCTCGGGCTGAGAGATGGCCAGGAGGTAGGGAAGGGCATGGCGTGAGTGCACAATGATGATTACTCCAACACAGCGTGGCTTTTAGGAACTGGAGCAGTGGGAGGCCACGCTGGAAAGCTCATATACAATTGGATTGTGGAGCCCCCTGAATGCCATGCTAAGGAGTTGGATTTTCTCCTGCAGGTAATGAGGATTTTAGTACCAGTCTGAATAGCATCTTGGGTACTTCCATGGAATGTTCTGCCTTTGGCGAGGTTGAGTCCACTGTAGCTCTTGGCCTGGGATGAGCGCTAAACCAATGGGTGTAGTGTGAAGAGTGGCTGCCAGCCGCACAGGCAGACAAGGGACTGGGGAACAGGGGAGCATCTGCTTGCCCTCGCCCTGCTCTGCTGGCTGCCCCGCGCCACGTTTTGCACACCATTCATTCAGTTGTGTTTGCCACCTGCTGAAAAATCTCAGCATTGCTCCCCCCCACAGTGCCCCTCCCCCACCACCTCTCCACAGGCCGCTTGGCTATGTAGACTCATTTTCAAAAATGTTTATAATGTCTTATGACTGCCTGTTCCATCTGCTGCTCACTCGTGGAGCCTGGCTCCTTCGCAAGGCCTGGAAGTCAGGCTCACGGTGCCAAGAAAGGTTAAAAATACGGCTTTGCTCTTTCTCTCCTGCAGTCTTTTACCTTCTCTGCATCCACCCTGTCCTGGACGACTCAAGGCACTTTTTTCTTCCAGTGAAGCCATACCTTTCACTGAGACTCAAATGAAGAAAAAGAAGCAATATGGACAGTTCCTGCTACTGTTAATGGGCCAACATGACAGTGCCAACACCTGCACATATGAAAACATGTTATACATATACATATGTGGGTATGCATGCACACACGTCTCACACACATGTGCACGCACACACACACTGTTGTCCAAAAAAAAAAAAAAACACCTCTATGTGAGAATATATTTACATTTTATTTTTCTTTATAAATGTCAAGGCATAATTTATGATAAAATATCTTTCTCACCCAGGAAATGGAGAGAATCAATACATTAAAAGATGGAGTGTCAAGGTCGTTTGAGTGAAAATGACATGAGTTTGTGGGGAAGCTTTTGAATCCTGTGGAAGAATGTGACAGGAACATGTTTTATCACTGCTGCTTAATAACTATCAGTGAATACAAAGGGAATGGTTTTGAAATGAAAATATTTAACTGAAGCTTTAAGAAAATCTCAGCTTTGTATTTGCCTGCTAAAATGTACTACTCTTGTGAAGAATATTAAGTCATGTTAGATTGTCTGCAGTTGTACATAATATTTTAGTCTTAATTTGGATAGCTTCTAAAATGGGTCTACATCATCATCTTTGCTACTTTTATTTAATTAACTCTTAGTCGAAAATTTTTCACATTTCATCTATGGCTATGGGAACCTGTACCTCCTATGCCAGGTAAAGTACACAGAAACAAACCTTTAAATAAATTATTTATTTATTTGAAAGACAAAGAGACAGAGAAAGATAAAGAGAGACAGAGATATCTCCTACCGATTGATTCTCTTCCTAAATGCCCACAATGGCTCTGGCTGTGCCAGGCCCAGGCTGGGAACTGAGGACTCAGTCCAGATCTGCCATGTAGGTGGTAGGGACCCAAGAACTTGAAACATCAATGCTGTGTCACAGGGTCTACATGGCAGGAGGCTGGAGTCAGGAGCTGCAGCTGGGAATTGAACTTGAGCACTTTGGTGTGGGATATGGGCATCTTTTTTTTTAAGATTTACTTATTTTTAAACTTTTATTTAATAAATACAAATTTTGAAAGTACAACTTTTGGGTTATAGTTTTTTTCCTCATAACCACCCTCCTACTCGCAAACCTTCCCATCTCCTACTCCCTCTCCCATCCCATTCTTCATTAAGATTCATTTTTAATTATAAGATTTACTTATTTTATTTGAAGTTCATACTTACAGAGAGAAAGGGAGAGACCTTCCATCTGCTTGTTCATTCCACATACGGCCTCAATGGCCCGCACTAGGATAGGTCAAAGCCAGGAGTCAGGAACTCCATTCAGGTCTCCCACGTGGGTTGCAAGGGCCCAAACACTTGGGCCGTCTCTGCTGCTTTTGCCAGGACATTAGCAGGGAACTAGGTTGAAAGTGCAAAAGCTGGGACTTGAATCAGTGCCCATATGGCATGTCGGCATCACAATACCAGCCCCATGGTGTGGGCATCTTATCCAGTGTTTTCACCACTGTGCTAGATGCACATCTCGGTGTACAGAAAAATATAAGACAAATACTAAAGGTTGCAATTGGCAATTAGGAAACACCATGTATTCTTTTATATTGTAGCAAGAACTCCTCCTCATGGACATTCTCAGAAATGATTACCACATTCACAGAAAATGGCATGATGAATAATAATGACATAAAATTAATGCTTCATAAAATGGATATCTTTTAATGGTGGTGCAGAAATTCTTTTTTCATTTATGGAATAAATTGAAAGGACTTACAAAGTAAAAAACGCAAGTGTTGGCAGTCAAAACACCCTATCTGGAACCTCTGGTTATTATCTACTTTATATCAAATTATTTTATTTGGGAAGGAAACATAATTCTGGTTATAGAATTATTCTAATGGCTAACTGAATAGATTAGTATTTTCTAGTATGTCAGTGACCCAAATACTTGAGCCATCATTTGCTGTCTCCTATAGTCTATATTGGTGGGAAATCAGAATCAGGAGCTGGAGATGTGAATAGAACCCATGCACTTGATATGGAACATGGACATCTTAGCCACTAAGCTAAATGCCTACTCCTGAATTGTTTCTTGTTAGTAGATCAAACCATGCAAATGGATTTATGAAATAAAGGTTTTTATGATGAATATACCTTGATAATGCAATTCAGTGAACACATTTTTCTATTTTTTATTACTAATTACATCTCCTCTTTAATCATTATCCATCATTCTGTACACATAACATGTTGGATGCACATGTAGTATATTAAGCATTCCTGCTTTGAAACCTGTTGGCTTATTACCATTTTCAAAGAACACTTTTTTCCTCCAGTATCTGAACAAATTTATGATTTAATTGGTCCAGATGGAATGCTAAATGTAAACTGAACAAGCACTGTAAAACATAGTACCATCTTAGAGTGGTCTTTAGATACGGTTATGATTGATTCTGTGGCTGTGCTTTAGACAAAACATCACTAAGAGCAACTGTTCTGTGTGTGGACTGGTTTTTCACTAGGGCCATAGGAGGCTGAGCATACAATGCACATCCCAAAGTTATTTGGGGAAAAAGGGCTTGTGTGTTTACAGTGATAACCACACACAAGTCACAGATTAGCCTAACAGAAGTGCTCCAATGGTATCAAGTGTAGTATGGTCTCTGGACATTTTCTCAGATCATTTCCTGAATGCTACAGCATTCTTTCTCTGAGAGCAGAGAACTAACTAGCCTCTCCCCAGCTAGTTGGCTCTGAAATGGGAGCTGGGAAGCATTGTCAAAGCACAGCTGGCCAGGCCCTCCCAACCCCGCTCCACAGCTTCTGGGTCAGTCTTTCTGGGACTGCTCTCAGATCATGCTCTCCTAACAAGCACCTGGGAATTGCCCTT